CTGTCTCCAGCCTGGACCTTCTTCCTGACCTCTAGACGCTGACACACAACTCCAGCCTGGCATGCAGAGAGCTAACTGGCATCTCATGTTTAAACTATCTAAGCCAGAACAGCTAGCTTGGGCCAAAAATCCAAGAGTGATCATCAGTTTCCCTTTTTTCCCTTCACACTCCATGATCACATCACCTGTAAGTCACATTTCCTCTGCCTGTAAAACGTATCCCAGCTTCATTCTTTTTTTTAAAATCAGCTTTGCTGCTGATACCCTGGACCAGGGCACTGCCATCTCCCTTGAAATTGCTGCAACACCTTCATGACTGCTAGCCTTACTTCCAAGCCCCCAGGCTATTCTCCATGGAGAGTATTGTTTTTAAAACGTGCTAAACTATATAGTTCTTAGCAGCTCTAAACCACCCAGTGGCTTTCATAGAATAAAATCCACAGTCCTTCCTATGGCCTATAAGGCTGTCCATCACCCAGTTCCTGTCTGTCTTCTCAACTGTATCTCCGACCCTTCTCACTCCTCCAGTTCACCCACAAAGGTTTTCTTGCTTAAACACACCAAGCTCCTTTCTATCCAGGACCTTTGTGCTTGTGGTTAGTTGTATTTGACTGGAATAAACAACCCCAGCAAAGATCTTGGTGTGCATGCTTAGATCTCTGATTAAATGTTATCTGTACAGGGAGGGCTTTCCCCGATCACCTAATCTAAAAGTCTTCCTCCTCTCCACTCCTCTCTTCTCTCTGTTAACCCCTGATAGCTGCCTTTCTTTATCTTTCTTCATAGGACTTCTCTCTATAGTGCGTTCTGTGTCTGTTTACTGTTTATCATCTCTCCCTCGCTGGTGAGACTTTTGTCTTATTGACGACTGTATTCTTGGCATCTAGTACATAGTAGGAGTGAAAAAGGTATGAATGGATGGATAGTGGCTTAAAGAAAAAAAAAGCATGCTCTGAGCCCAGTTGCCTGGGTTCATATTCTATTTCTACTACTTGCTAATTTGATCTTTGGAAAGTTATTTCATTTCTTAAGCCTTTTTCTTTTTCTTTCTTTCTTTTTTTTTTTTTTTTTTTAGTATGAGGATAACAATAGTAGCATCTTCACAGGATTATGGGGATGACTGAAAATCAGTTCCTGGCACAAAGTAAACTTAAAAACAAGGATGGTGAGTTTGGAGAGAACATTCTAGAAGAGGGAACAGCCAGGGCAGTGCCTCCTTCTTAAACATAGAGCATATATTCAACTAGTTGGGATTTCCTATAAACACAAAAGGCTACTGATAAATACATTATTTTTTAGGGTGCTTTCCGTAATTATCCTAGTTTTCATCGTGAAATCAATAGAGCAGTAGTATCTGAATCTCTCTGTTTGTTGTAGGAAAATCCAGCACTTTGAGTTTTTCTGGTGACATGCAAAACGTCCTTGTTGGACGCTCACATGCAGCCTGATCTGGAGAAGAGAAGGCCAGTTCACGAATTGGTGTTGGTATTTGGACTACCAACTACTTATAGAAGTTTTCCCTGGTCAGAGTGCAGTTAAAATTTTAGGTCCATAGTGTTATGGGAAATCTATTTATGTCAGCTTTATGGCCTCTAAGTCACAACCACAGCCTTTAGGGAGAGTCACTCTTATCCTTAACTGTCAGAGTCTGAGGATTTTATTTTCATTGGTAGTTTGACCAGCTTGTTAAATCTATTCTTGAGGTAATTCTCAAAAATAAACCAGTCACAAAAAGTCACAAGTGTATGATTCCATTTATATGAGATACCTAAAGCAGTCAAAATCGTAGAGACAGAAATTAGAGGTAGAAAGAATGGTGGTTGCCAGAGGGTGGGAGTGGGGTGGAGAGTTACTGTTTAATGGATGAGGAGTTTCAGTTTTACAAGATGAAGAGTTCTGGAGAATGGATAGTGGTGATATTGTATAACATTATGAACATATTTCATTCCACTGAACTGTATATACTTAAAAATGGTTAAGATGGTAAATTTTATGTGTATATTACTACAATTAAAAAATTGGGGGGAAATGAAAAATCAAAAAAATTCTCAAAATAAAATATTAACATTTTTTCCACCTGATGATTTTTAGATGAACCAGCAGTCTTTCTCTTTTTGCTGAAAGAATTCTGTATAATCCATAGGTTTTTTAGAGACCCTCCCCCAACCTCTTATTTTGAAAAAATAGTACAATGAACCTTTGTATGCCCGTATTTATATACTCTTTCTGAATCATTTGAAAGTAAGTTGCAGATATCATGTCAGTTTACCGCTAAATACGTGTGTATCTCCTAAAATCAAGGAGTTTCTTAATAACATTATCCCATCCAAAAATTTAATACTGATTCAATATCACATAATATACAGTCCATTTTTAAGTTTCCTTAATTGTCTAAAAAATATAAATGTTAGAAGTGTGTGTGCCATCTTTTTAGTCCAAGATCCAGTCAAAATTTATTGCATTTGGTTCTGATGTTTCTTTTATCTTTTGTTACATTGGTATTTTTGAAGAGTCTAGGCCACATTCTAATTTTTCTGATTGTTTCTTCAAGATTAGGTTTAAGTTAAACATTTTTGTTAAGAATGCTATAAAGATCGGGAAGGGAAGGGTATAGCTCAGTGGTAGAGCACATGCTTAGCATGCAGGAGGCCCTGGGTTCAACCCCCCGTACCTCCATTGAAAAAGTAAACAAATAAACCTAACTACCTCCCCTCTGCAAAAAAAAAAAAGAAAGAAAAAAGAATGCTATAAAGATTACATTGTGTACTTACACTGCTTCACATCAGTGGACATAAAGTGTCAATTTGTCCTATTACCAGTAATGCTAAAAGTTTAATAAACTTAGTTAATGCGATTATTTCCCAGCTCTTTCTCTTAAGTATGCACTTCAGATTGTGTGAATATTCTGTTTTCCATCCGCCTTTCATGGAATTGTTTTAGCTTTATTAATGATCCTTGCCTGATTAAATTACTATATCTGGGGTTGCAATATAGTGATTTCCTAATTGTCGTTCCCTCTGCATTTATTAACTGCCTTTTTTTTTTTTTTTGGTAAAGAAGGGCTTTCCCTTTTTCTCTCCTTTCAGTATCACTATGGACTCACAGATTCTTTTTATACTCAATGTGCTATATATAGTCTTTTCCTGTTACTGTTATTTATTGGCCAGTGGGAGTCTTTGCCCCTCTGAAATGATCTCATCAGTCTGAGTACTCTGTGCTTTCTGGGACAAGATATTCTGGGGTCACCTTGTACTTTCCTTCCTCCAAACCTGAAATCAGTCATTTTCCCAAGGAGCTCCGCTTCCTTTTAGTGGGGAATGGTATTTAGAAACCAAGATGGGGGCTAGGTGTACCTAGAAAATAAACTTTTTAAAAACACTGCCTGTCATTTTGATAGTATGTTACCACTTAAGAGGACTTTCACATATATTTTTAATGATTCATCATTTGGTCCTTCCTACAGCGCTGTCGGGTAGGCAGGTCAGATACTAAAATCTTCATTTTAAGGAGATGACGAAAGTGAGATGGAGACAGGATTAACTTTCCCAGAATTATAAGACTAGTAAGAGCAGATGCCAGGAGCAAAACCCAAGTCTCCCAAGTCTTTTACCTGCTAGTTTATATTTTTCTCTCCCCTGCCCCCACCCCAGTACACAGTCTTCCAAAAATTGTGCCTAGATGTCTTTAAAAAGCTGTTTTGCTGGCTTTTGGTCACTGCCAGCTCCACTAAAGAGAGAGAGCTTCCTTTGTGAGACTAAATGATAAATGGCTAGGGCTTGGAGAATATTTGCATCCTTCTTAGCATTGCCATTGGGAGCGCCTTTTGTAATGGGAGTTTGCTAGGGAAGCTTTCAGTGGTAATGCATGCAATATTTGATTCATGATTTGGAGAGCTCTGTTTGAAAACAGAACGTGGTCATACCTAGACCCTCTGTCTCATGATCAACAGCTTGTAACCGAGCCATTCCCAAAGAAGCAAGAAACCCAATAGCGTACCTTAAAATGCTGTGCTTATGCTGTGATTTGGTATTTTATTATGTGAAGGTCTCTTTTGTTCACTTGTTTTATTTTCCAAAAATGCATACTTTCTTTTCATTAACAGGCCAAGAAACCTTTTTGAACATTTTCCTCCTAATCTCTCCTTACCATAAAATTTAATACCTCAGATATACAGTATATCAGTGTACATACTGTATGTTTATTTGTGCTTTATACATAAAAAGTAATTTTTTTATCCCCCAAGAACCATTTTTTTGCCCTCTTAGGAGTGATATCACCCTCATTGAGACTACATTGAGTAGATGAGAAAGGAAGGATAAATATGATTGTATTATAACAATATATTTTGTATTATAGTAGTACATTTTAAAATAAAGCTTCTTTATTGAATAACTAAATGCAATAGATAGATTATTTTGATCCTAATAGCGCTGTGATCTTTTGGTTACCTGAGGTCTAAATTCATCCTACAGCTGCAAAGATAGTAATATTTCATCCATAGGGAGCTTCGGAGCCTATGGTCTGAATTTTTTTCCCATCTAAACAATTAGATAATTAGAACTCTTGGCAATACTGTTGAATTTAATCTTTTCCAGTATTGTTCTTCTCTGGAATTCTTGGATGTGTAAAGATACTATTTAAATGTATTTTAACATTTAGGAACACATGCATTTTTTTTCCTTCAAAACCCCTCTTTCCTCTACCACATCCCCAAATAAAGAACTCTTGAGTCTGAGGGAGTAGAAAGAGAGACTGCAGTTAAATTCCTCAGAACACAAGATTTTTTAAAACCATTTACCCATTACAGACTGTCTTGCGTGCTTTACAGTTTTTTTCAAAAGCATTTTTCTGTATGTCTTTCTTTTTATTGTTTCCTGCCTCTGCTTTCTCTTTTCTTTGTCTTTTGCTTTCTTTACTTTGCCCAAGTTCCTTTCATTTCTCTTTTCCTTCCCTCTTATTTCCTCTCTCCCCTACATGTTATCTCCTTTCTTTTCATTCAGGACTATGAGAGTAAATTGCAGGCCTTGCAGAAGCAGGTGGAGACCCGATCCCTGGCTGCAGAAACAACTGAAGAGGAAGAGGAGGAGGAAGAAGGTGAAATCTAGAGACTGAAACTTTCCTATGTATATGTTTTGGATCTGTATTGTCAAATTAATCATTTTTATCTGTGATCAAAGCTGGATTTGATCATAGTTGATCAGCCTTACCATTTATTGACATTTTACTGAGCCAGTTTAAAGCTGATTTAAAAGATGCTCAATGCTGAGAGTCCAGGCTATATTCTAGGAGGTGGGAGTGGGGCTTTCCTTAGAACACAAGCTCTCTGAATGTAGTCTTCATACAAATCTCTTGGGCAATTTACGTAAACTGTCTTATATTACTGTACATATGAAGTTCATATATGTGTTGCAAGTAAATATAGAGCTTATTTGCTAAGATACTCTGTTTTATTTGCTGGCTTATGGCTTATGTCAGGGATTTCCTGGTGAGGGCTTTGGAATATATCAGCATACATTAAAGCTATTTCTGGCAGATTACTAATCACATTGCTTAGTCATTTCTATCTTAAGTTTTCCGGAATTTCTTAGTTGAATTAGGACTTTAATTGTTGCCTCATAGTGTAGTATGAGCATTCATCACATTTCATTTCACTGCCCAACCTCTCAGTAATCTCAAGGCTTCAAATTAACTTTAAAGGAACTCTTAATTTATGTACTAAATTCTTTATTTTTAAATATCTAGGGTGAAATATGGCCTTCTTTTTCCTGTACTAAAAAGAAAAGTAAATATATCTGAAGTTGTACAATGTACTAGGAGTTTTTCTTTGTTATAAGCCGCACATTAGAGTTGTATCTTTAAAAAAACAAAAGAATGGAGAAAAACTGGAAAATACCTTAATTTGGTAAAAGACATGAGGTAGAGGAGAGATGTAATTTCTACATAGTATGAGATCACCATTAAATACAATTTGTTTGCTCTTTCAGTTCCTTGGACACAACATGAATTTGAGCTGGCCCAGTGGGCTTTCCGGAAATGGAAGTCTCACCAGTTTACCTCATTAAGGGACTTACTCTGGGGCAATGCTGTTTACCTGAAGGAGGCCAACGCCATCAGTGTGGAATTAAAGAAGAAGGTACGAAGGGTGTGGAAACATGGGCCATCTGGAGGCGAAGCTGAGCCTGATGGGGTTTGTGGTCCTCATATTGAGCTTATTTTTCCCTCGAGTGAACTCAGCAGCTTTTTGCCATGAAATAGCTTTATTTATGCATTCATTCCATATATGTGCCTGGGACGTAGTAGGTACTAATTAAATATTTGTCACATGAAGTTTTTAAAATAGCATGTTTTCTAGCTTATTTTACAAATGAGGAGACTGTAAGCTAGAGGAACATATTAGTAGAAAAATACTTATCTTGGGTTTCTGAAGATCTCAATTCGCTTTTAGTTTTCTGCCATTGAGTTTACACCTCTAAGTCCTGTGTACCCTCTCCTCTTCTAGGGTTTGATAGGCAGTTTTGTGTAGTGGACAAGCACATGCACTCTGTATCCAGGCAGCTATGTTCCAGTCTCTGCTCTCGTAGTTGTTTGACCCTAATAGCCCTGTGCCTCCACTCCCTCATCTACAAAATAGGCTTGGCAGCAGCGCCTGCCACCCAGGGGTTTTGTGAGGGATGAGAGAGTGAACACATGTAAAATGCTGAAGTAGTGCCTATATATGGTAATTGCTATTACCAAAACATCACACCACATCCTAGATTCATTCTTCTCTATGTCCCACTGTGTAACGGTCTCCTGACTTCTAAGATCATGAGAGGCACGGGGGAAGGGGTGAAATATTGCAAATTAGGTGGGGACACAGACTGCCTGACTTTGGGAAAAATCATCTTCTCCTAGGGCTATATTCTGGTTCTATAAAATGGGAATAAGATGTCTTCTTCATTTATAATCTTGGTACCTCATCTCATTTTGTAATATTTTCCTCTTCAAGTACACTACATGATGGCAGGGACTGTGTCTTTTCTCTTACCTAGCATTTCATTAATAGTTGGTTAAAAAAAAAATAGAGAGTGGTACCAAGCTATAAATGACATGATGAATGCAAAGCATTTACCCTATAACACTTTAAAGAGTAGTAATTGTAACCATCTGAATTTAAAGTGGAAGACTTTAACACGTGGCCACCCTCCCTCATTAGTGAGAGTCTAGAGATGCATTCCTGTGTCCACCTTTTGTTCTCTACGGAAGTCTTCATTCAGTCAACTGAAATAGATTTATTGAGATTTTAGTTTGTGTAAAAACACTGTGCCAGGCTAGGAAAACAAAGTCTGTAAATAGCTAAATGATTAATAGGCAAGTGGCTGTTTTTTTCATATAATCACAAACTGTTGAGCACATACTACTATTTGACCTCTTCCCCATTGGGCATCATCATATTGTCTGAAGCTTACTTGCTGAAAACAAAAACGCCATTTGTCGATGGTTTCTTCTTTCCACTCAGGTGCAGTTTCAGTTTGTTCTGCTGACTGACACATTGTACTCCCCTTTGCCTCCTGAATTACTTCCCACTGAGATGGAAAAAACTCATCAAGACAGGCCTTTCCCTCGTACAGTGGTGGCAGTTGAAGTCCAGGATCTGAAGAACGGAGCAACACATTATTGGTCTTTGGAGAAACTGAAGTATGAAAATGATATACTTACAGCCAATTGTTTTATTTAGGAAATAATAATGAATTGCTCGAGTGGCCTCCCTCAGACTCTCCTCTCTGTGATGTCACTGTTGCTTGCTTTTCTGTATTTCTGAATGCTGTTGCTGGCCAGTGATAATTGCTATACATCTGTTTTCTTCTCAGTGAATGAATCCTACTCTGAACACCTTTGTCACTTGTAGATGTTTAAATTTAAATTTACCCTCCATAATGCTCACTTGGTAGCACATATACTAAAATTGGAATGATACAGAGAAAATTAGGATGGCCTCTGTGCAAGGATGACACGCAGATTTGTGGGGAAAAAATTAAATTAATTAACCTACCATAGGTCCGCTTACATTTTAACTGTTCTAATTTTATGATATCTATTTCTGTCTTGGATCTCATGATGATGAATAGTAAATAGGAAAGTTACAATGTAGCCTTTGCATTTAGTACAATGAGGTATTTTCTGTTTCAGCATATTTGAGATACCATACACCATTGAACTACATTTCTCCTATAACTCAGTAGAGGAGAGGTTGGGTGGCCACTCTGGACTTTTGGTGGCTTGTCTCTAGACTTAGACAGTTTGAATCCTGAGTATTTTGGTTTCTGTACTTTTGACCTACATTCTTTTTTAATATCATTAATTGGTGGGAGCAGCTTTTTAAAATCCTGCATGAAGGATAGTTCCAAAATGAAGTTTTGATGTGGGCTTGTGATACTAACCCAGTGCACTTTGTGTTCATGACACAGGCAGAGGCTGGACTTGATGCGAGAGATGTATGACAGGGCAGGTGAGATGGCCTCCAGTGCCCAGGATGAGAGTGAAGCCACCATGACCGGCAGTGATCCGTTTTATGATCGGTTCCATTGGTTCAAACTTGTAGGAAGGTATGTGATGATTTTATTGATGTCTTCTTTATAAAGAATGAATGGTTTTATTTTAATTGTTTAAAACCTCAGCAGATAATACAGAAAGTTAAAAGAAAAAATATGAAGAAACGCCATTTATAATTTTTTTTGAGGAGGGGTGGAAATAATTAAGTTTGTATTTATTTTTTTAGTGAAGGTGCTGGGGACTGAACCCAGGACCTTGTGCATGCTGGGCAGGCACTGTACCACTAGGCTATATTCTCCCACCCACACCCCATTTATAATTTTATCCACTCATAGACAGCCACTGTATCATTTGGTATGTTTCCCTTCAGTTTTATCTAATGTGCATATTTGTTTGAAGTCTCAAGACTTTGAATTAGAGTAACTGACAGTCTTCCCTGCCTCTCAAGTCATTCACAAAATGTCTTACAGTTGACCAAAATAGATTTAAAAGAAAACCTATGTCTATATTCTGCATAGTTTAGTTATTTTTTGTTTTTTTCCCTGGCTGGGGGGAGGTAATCATGTTTGTTTGTTTATTTATTTATTCTTAGAGGAGGTGCTGGGAATTGAACCCAGGACCTCATGCATGCTAAGCATGAGCCCTACGACTTGAGCTATACCTTCCCGCTATCCTGCAGTTTAAAATCACAATATGACTTACAACTTACACGAATACAGTCTCTCCATGATCCGATATGTCGTCAATTTTTTTAAAGCAATTCGTCTCACTTTTGTCTTTGCCAAGAGTGAATTAATCGCACACCTTAGTAGTCCACCTGAGCCTCCTTGTGTATACTTTATTTTCAACATTAATGAAAACAAATAGTGCCTCTGGGAGTCCATATTGAGTCACGTTCTTAGAGGATTAGAATTTTAAAAGCAGAGAAATGTAAGTTTTCCCCTTAATGATTTCAGAATTTCAGTTTTTTTTTAATTGTGAAAACCTTCTGACAGTTTTAAAGGAACAGGGTTAAAAGGAGGAGCTGAAGTCCTAGTATTTTGTAGAAATAACTGAAGTTAAGTCTTTTCCACTCTGCTCTGATGATAGAATGTTTCTAAAGAGGTGAGTTGGCCAAACACGTCTCACCCAAGCGAGGCAGTACCTGCTTTGCCATATGCCATTTCATCCATTTCGTCTTCTACTCCAAGATGACATGGGAATTGGAATAAAGATTTAACCTTATTATTCACCTGATATTGAGTGGCTCCTTAGAGACCTGGCTGCTGATCTGTTTTGTGAACTGGGGAATGTAAATGTTTAACCGCATGGTATTTACCTGGGATATTCTACTCACGTATTTCCTTTTCTTATTCGAAGGATCAGTCCTTGTTCCCTTTCACCTGAACTAGATGATTTGTGCTTATTTTATCCTGTTGCTTTTCCATTTGCTTGTATTGTTTTGATTCCCCAGTGGGTTCTATCCTGTGGCATCTATAGCTTCCTATTTAACCAACTATTCCTCTCTCCTTGGCTGTGTCAATCGGCATCTTGCCTGGTGTCTAGCTCCCCCATTTTCCACGGCTGTGTGAATGAGCGCCTTGCTGACCGCACACCCTCCCCCACTTTTTCCACGGCCGATTCCGACATCACTGAGCTGGCTGACGAGCAGCAAGATGAGATGGAGGATTTTGATGATGAGGCGTTCGTGGATGACACCGGCTCTGACGCAGGGACGGAGGAGGGATCAGATCTCTTCAGTGACGGGCATGACCCGTTTTACGACCGATCCCCATGGTTCATTTTAGTGGGAAGGTTGGTGAGGTTAAAGTGAGAAAGGCAAAAAGGGACCAGCTCTTGCTCTAAAGAGGCTCCTTGTGCAATTTTGGACAATTTTGCTTTAGCCAGTTCAATTCATGGCATGCTGATCTGGCTAGAGAGAGCTCTCAGGCAGCGTTTGTGAGGTACCTGGCCTTCTTGGTTCAGCATATGGCACCATGTGAAGACTCTCCCTGGAGGATCCCTTGTCTTAAATTGCCCAGTAGTTTTGTTCTGAAGGAGGAAACCCCAGAGGAGAAAGTAATTAAAGCTGTGAGTCAAGTGTTACAGGGTGGGCTCGAAGAATTTTACTGTGGTCCAGTGTTTCCTCATTGTAGGAATGTGAGTGAGGAGCCATTGGGATAACATGAGAAGGAAAGCGGAGCAGGTCCAGGGTCAGGCTGGAGGATTCGTGGCATCAGCAGGAGTCAGGAGGACAAAAGTGGGATCAAGAATAGAGTTAAGTTATCTCCTGCTCAGTCTGTGGGTCCAAAAAAGAATCAGGAACGTGAAGTTTCCTCTTTGTCTAAGTAAAATGGGTGCCTTTCTTTGGCCACTTTCATAGATCTTTGGCTTCTGCTGAAATTTTACCTATAGGCATTATGATGATGAATCTTGTAAAATTATCTGTTGACACCATCAACAATGGGTATTTGTTCAGTGCTCCATGAAACTGCTTTGTGTTAAGTGTAATTTACCAGACTGAGGCATTGTCTCTGGCCCTGTCTGTCAGCGATGCAGAACTCTGACGCACACATTCCTGACACTGGGGTCTTTGTCTGCATCCAGTCTTCATGCTGAAGTAATTTTAATTACCAGTTCAACGGTGCAGCACTTACTGGATTAACAAGAAAGTGTGTCTAGGTTTTAAGGTGTTAAATTTACTTCGAATAGTGCATTAGAACCACATATTGTTGAACCCTTTAAAAATAAGGAAAATTACATCAGTGTTAATGGTTAAGCACCAGTTACCTAAAAATTAAAGTGCAGTTAGTCTCCTGACCCAGTAGGGACATAAGTTCTAAAAACCTAGCTCATAGTATGGTGTTGGTTACCTCGTGAGAACTAAATAAACAACGCAGAAAATGATCACTTTTATGGGAAGGGGGAAAAGAAAAGCTTTTTGATAGAAATTAAAGCCTCAGTTATGACTATGGGTTGTAAGATTAGACAGTCTCGGGGTTTTACAACAATGAAGGGGCATTTATTCAGTTTTTCTGTGAATAAACATAAAGGGATTATACTACCATGAACATTGTCTGGTGTATTGCCAGGAATAGATAGATGCTTACAATTTCAGAGAAGCTGGTTTTATTAAAGTTAAGAAAGGTAGTTCTCTGTGCAAATAATGGGACCATAATGCTTTCCTAATTGTGTGGCTGTGTGTGTCCTTCAGCCATTTCCTTTCTCTTCTAAGAGGGTGAGAAGCTGGAACCAAGTTTCTACCCATTAACTGCTTAGTCCTGGTGTCAGTGGTACTTCTAATGCTGCTCAGTTTTGTTGTACATCATGGCGCGTGAGGACCAGGCAGCTTCTTCCTGCGTGACATGGTGGGAAGAACACTGACCAAACTTACGATGAGCAGCTCAATCGGAGGCCTTTTAGGTTCTTAAGTGTAAAATGAAGACTTAGGTAGGGAAAAAAAGAAAGAGCCTTAGAGATACCTATTACCTTTCAGAGTCTGTCATCCACACTAGCAAAATGAAGAGTTCTACTCAGAAGCATTTGTATGAAAAACTTACAAGTCAGAATCCCTCTTAATGTGGAAATTCATTGCCTTAAAATAATATGTATTATTTTCTCTCTAGTTGTATTCATTTTAATCATATCAGATTAAAGTGTAGATATAAAGCAATCAACTCTACTTTGATTTTCAAATAAAATAGTTGTGGAGCTGTGGCTCAAGAAATGACCTTAGTATTTCTTTGGGTTCCCAGGTTTTAAAACTGACTTTGCTTTGCAAGAAAAGTGTTAGGAGAGGAGGTGAAGTCATGGCAATTTAGAGTGAAGGATAAGTCTTTTATTTTCACCCTTGACTGCATTTCTTACCTAACAATTTAATGCAGCGTCACCCAGTTATGTACTGGTCATTCTCTGTGTAAGAGGAGTAGCTTCTTTGCTGTTCTTGTGATACATGGAATTGGATTTCCCCTATTGGCACTTGACTGCAAACACATAAAATTTTCCAGTTTTTTGTGAAATTCCTTTTGTAGGATTCATGGCCTTGGCTGCCTCTGGTGAATTTTTACATGAAAACTAAAAGAGCTTGTCCCTTTAGCTGTTCTCTGTGGCATGCTGGGATGTTATGATCATCCGTCATAATTTGGGATGAAACGTGAAGTGTGTAAGCTAGTCTTCTGGGTTAAAAGTCTCCTAAGTACCTGAACTGATACTCTTTCTGTAACTAGAATTGTAATTATGCTGACTTTTATTACCTTTATGTTGACAGAATTTGTTTCCCTTTTTATGTAACGTCACAGAACTTTATGCTAATATGTCCTTTACATCTTCCCTTCTCTCATCCCTGTTCTCCTTCAGTCTGCTAGGTCAAGGTACAAGGACTCTCAAGAATGACGAGTAATTATGAAAATGCCAGTTTCAAAAACCTTGGAACTTTTATACAGCTCAAATGATTGATTTTGGGCCAAAGCCTATGTTCTAACAGTAGGACAAGGAGCTGTCTATTGACTGTGCGGTTGTGTAGTCACAGTGCTGATGCCCACGCCACTGCCGTAGAATTCTAGAATTCTCTCATCTAGAAAGGGAGATCCACAGAAATCCTCTCTATTCTTCCACTTACGGAGTAGCCACTGCCACGGGCAGAAAGGGGATGCTCATCTTTAATTTGCACTCACACAGGTGTAATTAAAAACAGGGGTTCTTGTTTTGAATAGCTATTTTTAAGTATAAAAATTACAAATTAAATATAGTTAGGAATCTAAACATGTTCTATTATATTAATCCATCATGAATGTGGCTTTGAAAAATCAACCTAATATAAAGTTGAATGGCTTTGCTTCTCTACCTCTGGTTTAACCCATTTTTCTGGAAAATCTTCCACTTCTACTTAGAGGACAAATCATTTTCTCATGCACTTATCTACACAGATGTTCAGTCACTCACCAGATATTTACAGAGTGTATTTATTCAATAAATACACCAGGCCCTCTGCAGACAATGGCTAGCAAAACCAGACATCGTTCCCGCCCTCAGGGGTTTACAGTCTGGTGGGTGAAACAGACAGTCTCATAAACATAAATCGTAGGAATGATGGAATCGTGTGTTACTGAGGTCATAAAACATTGGGGGGACCTGTCATTTGAGAGTGGTGTTTGGGATAAGACCTGAAGAAGTGAAATCAGAGGCAGGAGGTGGGTAGTAGAGTTCAGAGAGGAGCAGACGGGACGAGTGTGCGCGATGGCTCTTTAATGGCCTGGACATTAAAAGTGAGCAAGTCTGGCTGGAGGGCTGTTAGGACATGAAGGTGGTCTGTTTATGTGCTGATTTTGGAAGTGAAATTATCCATTTGGTACCTTATGCCAAATTTGTAGTCTTTAAACTCTGTCACAGTACTTGATGTTTGAGAGTCTTCTTTGTAATCCTTTTTAGATTTTTCGTTTTTGAATTTTTGTACAACATATTTTACCCCTGTATTTTTTAGCATTGCCCTCCCCACCTTTGGAGCAGACTGAAAGGGAAATAGACGTCATCTGATCTGACTCAGTGTTCACTTGCAATTATTTTTATTGTACTTTCATATTCCATTCATGCTCTTAAAGTTTTATTAACATTTGTTTTCCTTTAGTGTATTTTGTCTATTTACGGAATTGTTTTCATTACTTTGAGTTGAAACCCCAAGAATCCACTCCATGTTCCTCTTCTTTGTTTTAAAGTAGATTCAGAGCAGGAAAAGAAGCAGACATGCATACAGGCATACCTCGGAGATATTGCAGGTTCATTGCCAGATTGCTACAATAAAAGCAAATATCACTATAAAGCAAGTCGCCCAGGTTTTTTGTTGTTGTTGTTGTTTTTTCAAGTGCATATAAAAGTTATGTTTATATTACATTATGGTTTATTAAATGTGCGAAGCATTATGTCTGAAAAAACAGTGTACATGCCTTTAATTAAAAAATACTTCATTGCTAAAAACAAATGCTGGCCATCATCTGCGCCTTCAGTGAATTGTAATCTTTTTGCTGGTGGAGGGTCTTGTCTTGATGTTGATGGCTGCTGAGTGATCAGGGTGTAAGTTGCTGATGGTTGGAGTGGCTGTGGCAGTTTCTTAAAATAAGACAGCAGTAAAGTTAGCCACATCGATTGATTCTTCTCACAGATGAATTCTCTGTAGCATGCAGTGCTGCTTAATAGCATTTTACCCAAAGTAGAACTTTCAAAATTGGAGTCAGTGCTCTCATACTCTGTTGCTGCCTTACCAGCTACATTAATGTAGTATTCTAAATCCTTTGTTGTCGTTTCAGCAGTCTTCCCAGCATCTTTACTGGGAGTAGATTCCGCCTCAAGGAACCACTTTCTTTGCTCATCCGTAAAAAGCAACTCTTCACCCATGAAAGTTTTGTTATGAGATTATAGCAGTTCAGTCACATCTTCAGGCTCCACTTCTAATTCTAGTTCTCTTGCTATTTCTACCACATCTGCAGTTTCTTCCTCCACTGAAGTCTTGAATTCATCAAAGTCACCCATGAGGGTTGGAGTCAGCTTCTTCCAGACTCCTGGTAATATTGATATTTAGACCTCTTCCCATGAATCGCAGATGTTCCTAATGACATCTAGAGTAGTGACTCCTTTCCAGAAGGTTCTCAGTTTACTCTGCCCAGATCCATCAGAGGAATCACTATCTCTGTCAGCTGTAGCCTTACAAAATGAATTTTTTAAATGGTAAGCCTTGAAAGTCAGAATTACTCTTTGATCAGAATGGGTGTTGTATTAGTGAGCATGAAAATATTCATCTCCAGCAGAGCTCTTGGGTGACCAGGTGCACTGTCAGTGAACAGTAATATTTTTAAAGGAAAATCTTTATTTTGTTCTGAGCAGTAGGCTCAACAGTGGGTTTAAAATATTCAGTAAACCATGTTGTAAATAGATACGTTGTCATCCAGGCTTTATTGTTTCATTTATAGAGCATAGGCAGAGTAGATCCAGCCTAATTCTTAAGGGCTCTAGGATTTTCAAAATGGCATAGAACATTGTCTCCTACTTAAAGTCACTGGCTGCATTAGTTCCTAATAAGAGTGTCAGCCTTTCCTTTCATGCCTTGAAGCCAGACATTGACCTTTCTCTGGCTATGAGGGTCCTAGAAGGCATCTTCTTCCAATAGAAGGCTGTTTTGTCTACATTGAAAATCTGTTGTTTAGAGTAGCCACCTTCATGAATTATCTAAGCTCTATCCTTCTGGATAATTTGCTGCACTCTCTACATCAGCACTTGCTTTCCACCTTGCACTTTCATATTATACAGGTGGCTTCTTTCCTTAAATCTCATGAACCAGCCTCTGCTAGCTTCAAACTCTTCTTCTGCAGCTTCCTCACTTCTCTTGGCCTTCATAGATTGAAGAGACTTGGGGCCTTACTCTGGATTAGGCTTTGGCTTAAGGGAATATCGTGGTTGGTTTGATCTTCTGTCCAGACCACTAACACTTTCTCCATGTCTGCAATAAGGCTTTTTTGCTTTGTTAGATCATTTATGTATTCACTAGAGTAACACTCTTAACTTTTTTCAAGAAATTTTCCTTTGCATTCAGTGCTTAGCTGTTTGGCACAACTTGGCTGTCCTAGCTTTTGGCCTATCTCTGCTTTCAATATATGTTTCTCACTAAGCTTATTCATTTCTAGCTTTTCAGTTAAGGTGAGAGATATGAGACTCTTCCTTTCACTTAAACACTTACAGGCCATTGTAGGATTATTAATTCGCCCAATTTCAGTATTTCTGTGTCTCAGGGAAGAGGGAGGCTGCAGGAGAGGGAGAGAGATGGGGGAAATGGCCTGTTGGTGAAGTTGTCAGAACACACAGCCGTATTTTTTGATTAAGTTCACTGTCTTGTATGGGTGTGATTTGTGGTACTTCAAAACAGTTATAATAGTAATATCACAGATCACCATAAAAATAAAAATAACGAAAAAGTTTGAAATACTATGAGAATTACCAAAATGTGACACAGAGACATGGAATGAGCAGATGGTGTTGGAAAAGTGGCACCTTGCTGGAGACAGGATTGCCACAAACCAATTTGTAAAAAATGCAATGTCTGCATAAAAGCACAAGAGAGTGAAGCACCATAAAACGAGGTATGCCTGTATGTGTCATGTTCAGTTAAGGTTGACTTCTTGATGCAAATGTTTGCTCTTTGTCCTGTCTGTGTTCAAAGATACCACATACCAAGTGGGAAGACAAGAGTAACAGTAGGAACTAGATTCTATTTCCCATCCACTAATTGGAATGAACAGCCAAGCTTTGTCATCACCAGTTTTTATTGCTTTAAAAAAAAATCAATAGCTACAAAATAATGAAAGAAGGAAAAGAGAACTAGTGTGGTACAACTTTGCTAGTCCATTTGAAATAGAAAATGTTAGGTCTTACCTTTGGTATATGCATTTCTGAGTTATGTTTTGGACTCTAGGAGCAAAAGCAATCCTTTAGGGATCAGCTGTCTTCTTCTCCCTTGCCTTTTATCTTGATGCCCATCCAGAGTTCCCAAAAGTTCCTAACTCAGAAACTTCTGGCTTTGTAGCCTCTCTGCATGTGTGTGTCAGTCACGGTGCCTGAAGATCATAGTCATTTCTTAGAGTAAAAATAAAGACCCATAATGTTGTGACATGAAGTCTGTTTAGAGTTATTAACTCTATCTCAGTCACATTTCTCTGACTTTTTTTTTTTTTGTCTCCTGATTTCTGTTTTGTCTGTTGGGCAAAACAAAACAAAACCTTTTTGTAATTAGTAAAAGGTCACTCTTTAAGAGGCACCCTTTTCCCCATCCTTAGTAGTATTTATAGAGCAGTATCTTGAAAGTCTACTTCCAACTGTTACTCTTCTATGTACAGTAGTAATTTCTATAGGAAATAACTTGGTATAAGTTGGTCTTCTCAAGTGCCTTACCAAGCATTTGCATTTGTTTATATATTATTTGTGCTGAAAAAGCCATTGGAGGCAGCCTGAGAGTACAGAACAGAGAGGCAACCTTAAGACGGGGCCCAGAAGCCAGCTCACAGTTTCATGAAGGTATTCTTGGTAAATCTGAAAGCCACCTTCTCTGTCTGTGGGATGCTCAGATGTTTGTCTCCTGGTTTCTGTCTCTAGGGCATTTGTTTACCTGAGCAACCTGCTGTACCCCGTGCCCCTGATTCACAGGGTGGCCATTGTCAGTGAGAAGGGTGAAGTGCGGGGATTTCTGCGTGTGGCTGTACAGGCCATTGCAGGTAGGTGACCCTTTTCTGAAATGAAAGCTGTGGATTCTTTGCCTAGAGACAAAGCAGGCCAGTTCAGTTACACGCTACAGTACAAACTGTGGTGCGTTTGTCTGTCTTGAAGAAAGCCTTTGTGCTTCCTTTCTAGCTGTTGTTCCCAAGTATCATAAACAGATTCTGTCTGGCTCAAACTACTGCTCTTTTGAAATGATGGGGTAAAAGGATTTCCTTTAACATGAGGAACAACTCTTAGACTAACTTTATAAAAGTCATTTGCACTTGAAATAATGTATCATAACTGCTTCAGAAGATGTTTTCTTGCCTGATTTTCTCTCAGGGTGCTTCTGCTAGACATTTCTTTCCTTTGGCTGCTGTTTTGTAATGTATGGGGCAAGATTTTGATACTTTACAGTTTTCCATGATCCAGCCTACATTCTGAGGAAAGATTGTGGCTGTTCCCTGTAACTTTTCTGTTTTAATTTCCAGACGCTACGCTATGTTTAGTGACCTTTCAGCTTTTCCTCATGGAAATTAGTGACAGTCACCAATGTTGAGTTTATGGGAGTCTCCACAAGTACAATCTAATATTTTCAAATATTTGTTGAGTATTATTGAATATAATCTTGCCAAGTAAAGGGCTCAGTATTTCTAATTAAGACATTTGAACAATATCAAGAATAAAACTGATTCTTTGGTAACTAATTTTATTTGAGCTAAGGAGGTTGGTAAATTTGCTTGAAGAGTTGGAAGCAGCCTGTTTGATTTTACTGCTTTGGTCTTATTCTCTCTTTCTTATGCAAAAAACTTGTTCTTCAGTGTCTCCTCTTGTATTAATTTTGAGAACCTTAAGGCTCCTCTAATATGCTGCTTATTTTGCAATCCAGTAAGAGACAGTCCGCCTTGGTCCCACATTTGGTCTCATTCCGTTCTTGCTTATTTCCTTTTCTACTTAGGGGATGAAGAAGCTCCTGATTATGGCTCTGGAATCCGACAGTCAGGAACAGCTAAAATATCTTTTGATAATGAGTGCTTTAATCAGGTGAGAAACTTTCCAGGAAGAGGATAACCTTGTGCAAGGAGAAAGAAATAGACAGGCTTATAAGAAGAACGCTCAGCACTGGGGAGCGGTTCCACCTAGAACTAAACACAGGCTTGCTTAGTAGACTCTGGGACATAGCTAACGATTACTGAGGTGAGGGTAAAGGCCCTGCACTTGTATTGTATTGCATTGCCTTTTCTCAGGCAGCTCTTAATCCATATAATTTTTCTGTCACTATTATTTTTGGGGCAAATAAACATAAGGAAAGTGGGGGAAAATATGTTGTCTTACTATTTTATTATTTACTTTCTCCTGCCTTGTTTTCAGAGTGACTTTTCTTCAGTTGCAATGACTCGCTCTGGTTTATCCTTGGAGGAGCTGAGGATTGTGGAAGGGCAGGGTCAGAGTTCTGAGGTCATCACTCCTCCAGAAGAAATCAATCGAATGAATGACTTGGGTGTGTAATCAGAGTTCATTATGATTGGGGATGTTTTTAAAGAGGGGAAAGTACCTTTTTCAAGGGAGATAGTTGCTTTTATCAACTAGGAAAGACATTCTCTCCTCTTTGAAAGGTGCTTTGTGCATTATTTGAACCATATCTGTGTTCATTTGACCCCCTTTAGATTTGAAGTCAAGCACTTTGTTGGATGGTAAGATGGTAATGGAAGGATTTTCTGAAGAGATTGGCAACCACCTGAAACTGGGCAGTGCCTTCACTTTCCGTGTAACAGTGTTGCAGGCTAGTGGGATCCTCCCAGAGTATGCAGACATCTTCTGTCAGTTCAAGTAAGCTGTCCCTGTGCTCTGCCTCCCTACCTGTTCACCCAGATGATGTCTTTTGTGCACTGGAGAGTGCTCTTACACTTGGAGATGGTACCCTCTCAAGAGAGAAACAACTACCAATCACTGAAACAAAACGCTTCCTTCAGTCCAGATGGGAGTAAGACCTGGAAACCTGCAGTGGAATGAAACAGTTCGTTGTAGGGAGGAGTGTGGCCACATGTCTTTCTAGAAGGTTCTGTTGTAGACTGTCCTCCTCTGCCAGTTTAGGATCTGATCCATATAAGCCTTATTTGTTAGTCTTTTTATGTTCCTCGTGCTGAAATGTCTTATTAATAAACAAGTCTGAAAGCAATGAATTATCTAGCTGCCAATTATGCCTATTTAATACTTGGAAAAGGGAAATTTTAAGTCATTTAAAGAACAGAATTCTATATCAACTGAAAAAAAGCTAGTAAGTATTAGAGATGTGACAGGTTTCCTATCTCATCCATTAATAAGCATTTTCTGTCCTGTAACCCTCTGGAAGTCTATGCTATAGGCACTTTCCTCTCAAGACCTCTAAAAACATTTTTGTGGAGAGTCTTAATGCTTCCAAACATCAGTGGATCTTTTCAGTACTTGGAACAGGCTGCAGTGGGAGAGAATGAAGTCTGAGCTACCCAGCTCCTAAAGCCCAAGGTTTGCCGCTGGTGCCACCAAAAGGCTGCTTTAGATTTCTGCCATTCCTTTCCCCTCAGGAGCATCTTGGCCTCCAGGGTCCTAATGCAGTTTCTGAAGCATGGCTTTTTATATAAATTTTAGCCAGGTCCTAAATTAAGTGTGATTATTACATACTAAGCCACTAATGTCATTTGTTATAAGTCATAATTGTTGAAATACTATCCATCCAGTGTTGACTTTGCCCATTTAATGTGTTTTCACTAACAGCCTCTGTCAGTAACTGATGGGCTTTATAGAAAAGATCTGAAGTGGCAATAGTGGTATGTGACTTTTGTCCTGAAATCTCCTAAAAAGAGAGTAGCATCTCCACCTGGCATTAGCTCTGGATGAAAGAGCGTGTTGACTCACTTCAAAAGAAGACTCAAATTCTTCTTGTGTTTTTATAAACTCTCATCTGGCCTGCATAGGGAAAATACAGCTGTAGAGCAGTGTGAATGATTTCATGCATCACCAGTCTGGAACCCCAGGATATTTGTACCTGCTCCAAGCAAAGCATTGGAGGAGTGTAGATCAGAGATCAGCTGATGCCCCTGGGGCCCCTGGCAGGTACACTGTGTGGTCTGGAGAGGAAAAAACTGGGAGGAAAAAAAAGGGAGTAAAGTAAGAGAAGGAGAGTGAGAGAGGTAAGGAGAAAATGAGAAGAAAGAGAATAGGAAAGGGTACACGTAGTGTGGAGTGCTGCAGTACCACAGCAGGGTGCGGCATCAGGGATACAGGTGCCTGGCAAATGCAGCACTGTCCTCAGACTCGGTGAATTACATTCGGCCCTTGAATAACTCAGGAGTTGGTACTGACCTTCCCGCACAGTAAAAATCCAAGTATGTATCTGAGATTCCTTCGTGTCTAAGATTCCACATCCAAGGATTCAGCCACCTGTGGATGGTGCAGTACTGTAGTATTTACTACTGAGAAAAATCCATGTATAATTGGGCCCACACAGTTCCAGCCTATGTTGTTCAAGGACAGCTGTAATTTGGAAGACCAGGAGTTCATAATTCTGGTCTTTCTACGCTCTACTCAAAGTATTCTCTTTTTTCCCTTTTTTCTTGTGGGAGTGTGGGATGTCCTTCTTGTGGATATTTCTATCTGGCAGTAAATATTTGAATTGAGTATTCTGTAATTCTCTACTTCTATTTCAGGCTTATCATAGGGAGACAGAGAGAACAATAAAATCTCACTACTTGTAAGAATAAATAAACATAGCCCACTGACTCAGCAAATATTTCAGAAGTATTTTTTAATTTCGAGCCCTGTGGGAGACACTCAGTGTCTTTTGGAGAGACAGGTGTATGAATGCATTATTACAAACAATAATGTCATTGCTATTGAAGGAAAACAAGTCCCTAGAGCTGTGGGAACATAACTGTTTAGGTGAGTCAGGGAAGTCTTTCTGGAATAAGTGATGTTTGAGTCTACTCTTAGCTGGTCTTAGAGAGACTCCCAGGCAAGTGTGTCACCCACAGGCTTTGGGACTACCTTACAGAAGCTTGAATCTGCCAGAACTTTTCTGTACAACATGATTACATAATTTTTAGTTTTGGTAAAAAACTTCTGCAAAGGAACAAGAATTCACTGAATTCAGTCTTCATACATTCACATAGCTAAGTGATCAGGGTCAGTTGATTTTTCAGTCATTTTTGAAATAAAATCTAAAATGCTGTCTGAGTGATACGGAAAACATTGTTTGCAAAGAAATGTAAAGAACTTGACTCAGTTAAAGACTGCTAATAAGGTGCTCCTTTCTGTAAGATCCAAGCTGATCCTGATGAAACCATTTAATGCAAAATTCTTGTGGGGTTTTGTTTTCCTATTAAGCTTTTTGCATCGCCATGATGAAGCGTTCTCCACTGAACCCCTCAAAAACAACGGCAGAGGAAGTCCTCTGGGCTTTTATCACGTGCAGAATGTAAGTGACATGGACATTTTTGCCGAATGTATTGTGGGTTTGTGTTTTGTGGTACCTTGAAGCAGCTGGTGTGAGGCAGTCGTCAGGTGTGGGCTCCCTTTGGCTTTCTCAGCCGAAGAAGGATGATAATCTGAGTTGCCACGTAGGGGAGCTCTGTGAGCTCATCCCCTGTGCACGCAGCAGCCAGCGTCTCTGAATTACAGTGGGCCCTGTGAGCAGCCTAGGGGTTGGTCAGCCAATAAATTCTTTTGTCAATTTGAATGTAGTGAGTTGTTTTTAGTCTTTCCTTCCTAGAAGAATAAGCATGTTTAGTGTGAGTTTTGTTAAGGTACTTAACATTGTTCAGTCGCAAATAATGTAGGAACTATGAAATGCCTTTTGTAGCTAAATTAAGATTCAGAATCTGTTCTCCTTGCAGCTGATACTATGATTAATACTTTAATGTCCCTTACAACTCTGTCATGTGGAGTAAGAGAACAGACCTCCTATCTCTTCTAGGAAGGTTGACTCAAACTCTCTTCCAAAGTCATCATCTTCATCACAATAGCTAACATTCAAGAGCTTATTTTGTGTTAGTCATTGGTATAAGTGTTGTTTTGTATCTTAATTTATTTAATCCTCACTTTTGTGCCATACACTATCATAATCCTCATTTTACAGATGAGATAGCTGAGACACAGAGCAGTTAGTCACTCATCAAGGTTACAAAGCTAGGAAGAGGCAGAGATGGGGTTGGAACCCAGGATAGTGTGGCTCTAGCATCTAGGACCTTCACTTCTGCATGAAACAGTCTTGTTCTCTTGTTAACTGTATCCACGCTCTAAAATATGAGAGGAAAGGACAGCTCCAAAAATGGAACAAGCAAACACAAAACACACTGTTTTTTCATGTTCAATTGTATAAATGTGAGCATGCATGTATATGATAAATATTGATCCCTACTGTGCACAAGGACTGTGCCTGATGTCACTGGGAAGGGTACAGATGAATCTCAGAGGATTATGCCTCCAAGGAGCTTAGAATTATGAATAAAATGTGTATTTAAACAGTGGTAGTACAAGATATAGAAACATTAGAAGGGTATCCATTAAATACAGTGGGAATAGAGAGACGGGAGAGTTGTTTCCATTAATGGGAAGAGACTTTAAGTTACTTTCTTTGTTGGGGGGTGGGGTGGATGGTTGGGTAGAGAAAGGAGGTGGGGGAACTTCCTGAAGGATGTAGTGTGAATAAGAAGAGGTGAGTCAGGCTTGGCACTGTATCTGCACACAGTGAACAGTCATGGTTTTCTTAATTGAATTAGCCCTTTGGAGTATAGGGATGATAGAGGTACAGAGATATGGAAAGGCCTCCCGGCCAGGGCTGCAGCCTCAGGCACAGCAGAGGAGAGAGCAGGTGAAGGGAGCACAGGTGTTTAATTGAGTCCAAACATTAAGTGTGTAAAGAGCAGCTGAGAAACCACAGGTCAGTCAGGGCAGGTGATGGAGGGTCTTGGTAAAGGTACTGTAGAATGAAGACCAGAGAGGATCCCCTATCTTTTGGTGTGAGAGGCCTGCATAGTAAAATATCCAGCACATACGGGGCATTCAAAAGTGCTGAAGTGCTGTTTGCAGCAAAAATGTGTCTTTTCCTGTAATAAACCCTTCCCCAGTCTAACTTGGCTTTATTCCATATTAGATTGCAGTGGAGGTTACGGAATCATTTGTGGAATATATCAAAACCAAGCCTATCGTGTTTGAAGTCTTTGGGCATTATCAGCAGCACCCGCTTCACTTGCAAGGACAGGACCTTAGCAGGTTCGGGCCACAAGGTTTTTGTGTTGATGCTGTTGTTGTTATTCTTACTTGCTGGGAAGGAAGAAGTCTTCTGAGGGACTAAGATAGCAGCTAAATGAGAGTTTTATGTATTACTCTATGTTTCCGTTTTAGAAACATCACTGTCTCTTTTGTAAGGCTCCTAATCACTAATTGTGGTTAGGGCAAACTGAATTTTGGCCAAGTGACCTTGAATACCATCTTTTTGTAGGAAGGACTTTGAATAGGATAGGAAGTTGAGGTAATAGGGATGTAACATGAAAATTGGTATAATTGTTCCTAACCACCCGGAACTTTTTGAAACATAAAGTCCCTAAAGTGTGTGTGTCTAAGTAGAGACATCAGAATTGGTGAGGAGAGCAATGATGGGGACTTCAGTGATGGCAGAGTGTCTGTTAATAAAAAAAGTTTCTAATTTATTAGCTATGACTTACAAGAGGATTTTTATTAAGATGTCTTAGCCTCGGTTTTACTGTGTGGGGTTATGTCTGTTATTTGATGGTGTGCTAGAGTTGAAAGTACTAATGATCCGTTTCTAAAGGGGATTTAAACATGCAATTAATATCAACATGGGACTCTTTTTGGTTTTGAAAATACTTGTTGTCTTCCTTTGCAGCCCACCTCAGCCATCTCGACGATTCTTCCCACCACCCATGCCACTCTCCAAGCCAGGTGAGCAATAGCTGTGTTCTTTGTATGATGTACATCTCTTATTCTGAGTGACTTTACAGATAAAAAAAAGTCATATTCAAATTCCTGCTCCACTTTCGTGTATCCTTATGTGTTCCTGTATCTGGCAGAAACTAGAATTCTTGTTGCCTGATTTAAAATAAGAAGTAAGGAGCAGTAGGGCTCTATCCCTGCCAGTACTCTGGTCTTCTTACTGCAGATTGTGATCTGCTCTCTAGCCCTAAGTCTCTTTGTGTGTAACTCCCTGTAACTGTCAGGAAACTGGACGTATCTTTGCATATTACATTTATTCTGCATGTTCATTTATCTTGTTTTATTTTTCTTTGTTTATTTTCATCCTTTTTCCTCACTGCCCACTTGCCACATTCCCACCCTGCCCTGTGCTCATTCTGTGTTCCTCACCTCCATCCTGCCTTCAGACCATGAGAGAAAGATTGAACTGATTCGATTTCTCGTATCTGACTATGTGAATGTGCATGTGTTGGACACATTTTCTGAGCATGCCAATGTGCTCGCATCCTCCGCCATTGCCACCTTCCAGGATGGGGCTGACCCATTGCCGCCTTTTCTCTTTCTGCCAATTCCCAGCTGCCAGAGTGAGAGGGTACCTAAACGAGATGGTTAGTAGCTAAATTAGCCCTGCCTTAGATGTAGAACCATCCTCAGGGGCTTGTCCTAAAGTTTGGCTCTCTGTGTACGAAACACTGATGTTTCTGTTTGCTACTTGACCTGAGTGTAGAGTTTAGAACACTGTCAAGATCATATCACATTTCCTTCAGACCAAGTTTTAGGAAGCACTTTCTCTACTTAAGCCCCTTTCACATCACTCAGCGGTGGAGGGAGTGCTCCTTATATTTGTTTGTTTGGATTCTTTGTAGTTGTATTTTTAATTCTAAAGATGTAGGTGGGTTTTTTTTTAATGCTTCTGGTTTTGCTTTCTGACCCTCAGATGCTCACCAGAACCAGTAACCCTTTTACCTTCTTGACTACCATCATTGCCAGCTCACCTGGAATTCAGCTAGGGTGAATAAAGCTGATAGACTGTGCATCTGACTAGGGCAGTATGAGTCATGAAGCCTCTTAGACACATTGTGTCAGTGGATCTGCACAATTACCTTTTTGAGACAGCAAGCCAAATATTTTATGATCTCCATTTTACAGATGAGGATTGTACAGACTCCCAGAGGTTAAGTGACTCAACCAGAGTTTCATAGCTAGTTAGCAGTTGAGCGGTATTTAGATCCCAAGTCACTGGACTCTCATGCCAGGACTCCCAGAGTCAGAGCAGAGAACCCCCTGTGTTGTCAAGATTTCAGGATTTCTAAGTAGTGTTTCAAAATGCCTACCATGTAGAATCTGAAATTCTTGGAAATAGTGAGGTTTCTGGCTGATGTATTTCATCAGTATAGATGAGAACATGGAATTTACATCTGAAGAAAATGGGTAACATGAGTTCATTTACAGAATTCTGCATTTACAGATTAGACCTCCCAGCAGATGGATTCCCACCCCTAGAGAATGTAATTTAATTGACCTTCGCTGTGGCCTGGGCTTTGCCATCTTTAAGATCCCCAGGTGACTCTTGTGTGCAGGGAGGCTCAGGACCTGCTGAGCTGGAGGACAGGCCTTGCCTTCCCCACACCAGTTTTGATGCTACCCTGTGATGTGCAAGGCTCCCCTCATCTTCTCTCCCCCATTGTTACCGTGCTCTGCGTGGGAGAGTCTAAAGAAGGTTTTTTAATGGTTTTGTGAGCCATTCGTGTCTGCACAAAACCTGTTTTCTCACTGTTGGGTACAGTTTTTTTGAGAGGGAGAAAGACACTGACTCCTTTTTCCTTGTTCTCTGAAGTTAGAGGTACTTATGTAGGTGACGGTGAAGTTTCTCTGGATCTTCTGCACTGAAATTATCCCGATTCTTGCTGCCTTTCCCAAATGTGTCCTTGAAGACTAACATTAGAAAAGCTTATGCCTTTGCTGAGTAGATTTGAACCAGATCTTAACATTTTCTAAAAACTTTTAAAAGTTCCAGCTACCAAGTTAAATACCATGAGCAAAACCAGCCTCGGCCAGAGCATGAGCAAGTACGATCTTCTGGTTTGGTTTGAAATTAGTGAATTGGAGCCTACAGGAGAGTAAGTCCAACTTTCTACATTTTAAAATAAGGCAGTTTTTCAAAATTAGAAAATGTAATTTTGAGTCTTTCTTGTCTTCAGGTTCACGAATCTTTGTCACATTCCAGTTTTGAATTGAATTTGGGGGGACTTTGTATTACTCTTTGAGTTGGGTGTCTGTCAGAACTATCTAGCATAATAATTTGCATTCTTGTTAGCAACAGCAAGCTCATGGAGACTGGCACTTTGTTATGAGGGAAGACAACCTGCATAGTGGGTTTTTATCAGCAGCAAAGCAAAGGGAGTCAGAAGCATATTTATTGCACATATGGCTGAAGACTTACGTTAATATCTCGGGTTTACGGGACAGGATATTCTGTAGACCAGGGTTTCTCAACCTCTGCACTGTCTAGGGCCAGATAATTCCCTGTTGTGGGGGCTGTACTGTGCGTTGTAGGGTATTTAGCAGCATCCTTGGCCTCTCCCCATAAGATGCCAGTAGCACCTCCCCTCCTGTTGTGACAACCAAAAATGTCTTCAGATATTGCCAGATGTCCCCTAGGGGGCAGAATCACCCCCTAGGCCCACCGACCCAGATCAAAATGGTCAGCATCAGCTTATTTTCTCTGTATGAGCTGTGTTAGACTAATTACTAATGTACTTACTGTCTATAGTTGTCTCTCAGTTCTTTTGAAAAATACAAATAAAGGCAACCTCTCTCCTGAAACAGAGGCAAGGGACTATATCAGTTAATGTAAAGGGTAGGGAATAAATGTTATCTTAGAGATCCTCTGCGTATGTTGCTGAGTGCCACCATCATGATCACCTCCCTGAAACATTTATTGAGTCCTACTGTGTGTGAGGTTTGGCTCTATCGATCCTGTATGTAGTTGTCAGTAGTGGCATTGCTTTACGGAATTTGACTTTCCATAGACAGATCTATAATGTGATTATAACTTGCATTATGACGGAGAAGTAGTTACAGTAATGGTTTCCAGCGAGTTAATTGCTTTTTGATTCTCAAAAAAATGATGTAGAATCTGAAATTATCCCTTTCTTATCTCCTGACACATGCCATTGCTGTAATACGTTATTTATGGAATATTTGTTAGACAGGGAGCTGGGATGGAGCCAGAAGATGTTACTGCCCTGTGAACACTTCAGTCTAGTCAGGATGATGAGACAGAGATATGTAGAGAGGTTTACTAAGTGCAAATGCAAAAGACTGCATGATTAAAGGCCCAATTGGTGAGAAAGACATGGGATCAGAGTTTAGAAAAACAGAGACCATGGAGAGCTAGAGCATCCAGGGAGGGAGGACTTTGCAGATGAAGTCGCAGTTAGCACAAGCGTTCTGTCTAACTTCCCTCTTTTGCATTTCTGTTTTTGTAGGTACATCCCAGCTGTGGTTGACCATACAGCAGGCTTACCCTGCCAGGGGACATTTTTGCTTCACCAGGTACTAATGAGGGAGCAAAATAGGGCCTAGGAAGGAGCATCAAAAAAGAGTTAGAATAAGAAACATAGCTCTGTTTCCTTGCTTTTAATCTCCATTTCAAGGAGATTTGGAAGTTGCCAGACATTGCCCTGTCTTTGTTTTGTTTTGTTTTTATGTTTGTTTTTAAATGTTTCTTTCTCAAACCTTGGCTTATATATACCCTTGCTTTTATATATACATGTGTTTTAAAAGAGCTTTTTTGAAAGAGTCTGTTTCATTCAGTTACTATAATTTGTGCAGCTCCCATATCATTTTACACAGTTTTTACTTTATGATGTTTGGAAACTGCTTTCACAGCCAAAAGTTCTTAATAGGAATAGAGGACGAAGGTTTCCGAGGACTAAAGATTTGGCCATGAAATGTAGGTCCCTCTTTGGCAAATCAAAAGTAGATTTCATCAGTGCTCAAAAAATGCTTATGACCCAGGTGGGCATACTATGGGATGTACAGCCTGGGCATCTGTTCCTAAGGCAGTATCAGAACCTGGCTCCTCCTTAGTCCCTGACCTATGTCCCTTTGTTCAGAATAACAAATGTGGACAGCATTGCCTCTCTGTCCATGCCTCTCCTTCCTGCCCACCCCTACACCATATGATCCAGAAAACAACAAACAAGAGGAAATAAGAGATTGTCCTAACTAAATTGCAACCCTGCTCCATTACCTAGGGCATCCAGAGAAGGATCACAGTGACCATTATCCATGAGAAGGGTAGTGAACTCCATTGGAAGGATGTCCGTGAGCTGGTGGTAGGTGAGTACATTCCATCTGTTGAGGATGGGGCCGGGCCTTTTTAGAGATGAGGCTTTTCCCTGTTTGGAGCACAGGGAGAGTGTGGAAGACTGCGCCTGGAACGTGGCTGTGCAGAACAGAGAGGCCTTGAGTTTGAAACTATTCGTGTTTCCCAGATCCCACCAAAGGTTACCTTGCCTGCCATTATTTTCCTCAATTACCATGGGAGGTTCTGTGCTAGAGGCTGTGAGAGAGCAGAAGGGAAGTCTCTGCTCCTCATGAGCGTGTAGCCTAGTTGAGGAGATGGTGTGTGTGTACGTACAAAGCCGTTTGAGGAGTAAGTTCCAAATGAGAACAACTGAAAAAGACTTGCACTAAGAATGTTGACAGAAAGGACCCAGGAGAACTGGGTTAGCTTTGTGGGAGGAGATTCGAGAGAAATTAGAGGGTTTTGTTTGTTTTTCACACACGCAAACATTTGGAGTTAGCGAGTCAGGAATGTCTAATGTGAAAATGGTGGGAACCTATGGCCAGAGTGAAGCAGTCAGACTAAGGCATAGTGAGAGGAAAAAATTGGCCAAACAGTACAAGCTTCAGAATGATGGTCTAAGGCAGGGGTCTGAACCTGTTTTTGCCATGGACCTCTTTGGCAGTGGAGAAGCCTCAAAATTATGTTTTTAAGTGTAGGAAATAAAGTACTTAGGATTACAAAGGGAACTAATAATATTGAAACACAGTTGTTAAAATACTAAACAAACGTGTAACACACTCTGCGTTAAGTAAGCAGCGGGTCTAATTTCTACCATTTCAAAGTGGTGATGTGTGTCAAGATATTTCACATTAGTGTGATCGGAAACATTTGTGGTTTCTACTGGGGGCAGAGTCACAGATACTGCTGATTCTCCTGTGGTTTGTGCCCTCCCCTCGTAATTGAAGGAAAAGCCAAATTTCAGTTAGAGGTTCCTGAAGATTAAGTTGTAAATTTTTTCCCCATCCAATTCAGACCTCCTGAATTCTATCCATAAACCCCTTGGGTATCTCTGGACCCGATTCAGAACCCCTGGAAGGAAGATCATGTTCTCTCCTATCCAGGGCAGTGGTTTCCAGGCTTTTCAAAATTAATTTTTACACAAAGCAGGAAAGATGGTTTCTGATTAGAAAGGGTAGCGTATGATGCAGAGGCAGCAGTTACCAAGGCTTCTCTATAACCCTATGCTTTATTTTTTAAAACAAACATGAAATGTGGGTGTTTTTCTGAATGCTCTAAAAATATTAGTTTATTTAATATGACATAACATGACAAACACATGATTGTAAAAATTTCATAAGGCAAGAATTAATATTCTAGCTTCACAGGTGAGGAAACTGAGGCTCAGAGAGGTTGAGCTTATGCCCAGGTCTCACAGATAGCTGGTGTTGCAGCTGAGATTTAAAACCAGGCAGTCCAGAAGCTGTTTTCAGTCTCTTTGCAATGCTGCACCCTTTAGTGTTAATCTGAAAACAGAACTGTAAGATTTTGAATAAGAAAGTGGTATCATGAAGGCAGTGGCTTAAGAAGTTTATATAAGGTGAATGTAGAATGGATTGGAAAGGGGGCGATGTGAGAGCAGCTAGGAGACCGGTTAAATAGCTGTTACAGTGTCTCAGATCGGGAGGGAATGACCTTCATGAGCAGGGCAGTGATGTTGGAAATAAAAGTTGAGATGGACATGAGAAACTCTTTGAACAAAGAGTAAGTTTTCACAGCTGACTAGACATGGGATGTGAAGGGGAGACAGGAAGAAGAATGGGAGACGGAACATTCTACAGCACCTGAAGTTACACAAAGATTTAAAAGCCTCTTTTTGGCTTACTGAATTACGGTTTTGTTTTTTAATGTATCTTTGTTCTGGTTTTTTTATTCTTTCTTTTAGGCCGAATCAGGAATCGGGCTGAGGTGGATGAAGCTGCAATTGATGCCATCCTCTCCCTAAATATTATCTCTGCCAAGTACCTGAAGTCGTCCCACAACTCTAGCAGGTGGGGTGTCCTGAGTGTGAGACCTCAGCCCCATGGGGGCCGATTGCTTGGTGCACCGTTAGATTCCTTGTTCATCAATGACTCCTATTCAGATGGAGAAAAAACCCCTTTTCACTTCAAAATTCCCTACTTCCTTCCCTGCCCACCCTGCTCTTCGAAGATAAATACATAAGTCATCAGAGCACCTCGCATGTGATGTACCCTCAGAGAACAGAAATGTTCTGTCCTGTGCGGAGTTTGAGTAGCTATAGCACAGTGACAGGGAAAAAGCAGGAGCTGAAAATTCAGCATGCTACCCGTGGGCTTAAAAGTATAGATTGATCCTGGCTAAGACCAGATGTTTTCCTGTGAAGTGGTTGCTGCGGATGGTGGAAGACCTCTTGGTCTTGGGTGTCATGGAAACATGCCCTCCAGTGTATAGTGAAACCTCTTGTGTTCGTCTCTGCTGCTGCCAGTATCAGCTCAGGGAGTCTCAGTATTTGCTTTTCATTTTTGTTTATTCATAAAGGCAATAAATTATTATAAAGTCGTCTGACCAAGATAGGCTGCTATAAATAATAAATTTTATTTTTAATTTTAGATTAGCTTCCCTTAGTATTTCATTTTATAATCAAGTGATGACAGACAGTGCATAAAGTACTTAGTCATTCTGCTTTCCCAGATCAGACTGGAAGTAAATCTGCTGGGGCCCTCTTACCTCTCCAGGAAAGGAGTCCTGTCACTGTGCACGGAGACTCCATTTCTTTACAGAGTGAAGTCTGGAAAACAGGAGTGACCGTGTGTTCTGGTGTGGGCTCAGAACACTGGTCTGTCTGCTCCTGAAAAACTTGATCACAACTTGTGACAAGAGGGAGAGGAAAAACTAGACAATATGCAGAAACAGAATTAAAAGTTTGGGCTAGGATTAATTTCTTTACATTGTTTCCTTATGTTATAGTTTTGCATAAGAATGAGGAAAAAGGAAGAATGTCTGTTTGCTTTTTGCCTGTAAGAGGAGCTGGCAGGGGCTGTGGACAGACAGGAAAGGAGGGTGAGAGGGTGTGTGTCTGTGGAGGGGGAGAGGCAGAGATAAAGATTTCCCGGGCAGAATCTTGAACAATACCATCACTCTGAAGTCAGCGTTAACCCTACATAGCATTCTCTCCTCCGCTGGGCGCTGATGGTGAGTATGCAGCTGGCATTCACTAAATTTTCTTTGCAACAATGAGAAATCTATCTTAAATTCCCCTGGGGTACTTAGAAAAATACACAGGGAAAAATGGTGTTTGGTTGAAATGCTCATTGTGCTAAATTTGCTAAAACTAGTTAGCGTGATCTTCAGAATCCTTTGATTGATGCCCAGCAGCAGGTCGGATGCTGTGGAAGATGGATTTGGCTTTGTTAGAAGCGGCTCATCTTTCACAATTGAAGCTTAGAGTTAATTAATGAAAAAAGTTGCTAAAGTCAAGAATAATGAAAAGGTACACACTTTAAACACTTTCGTTTTAATTTACGCTATATAAATGTACATTAACTTGTCAAGCTCTTGCTGTAGGGCCAAGGCCTTTTCTTTAATTGTAGGCTTACTAGGTTTCTAATTGTCTTTCTTGTAAAACCACGCCCATAATTCATCATCTGTGATTTTCAGTTTGGTGGAACTAGGATGAAGAAAATCTAAGTGCACAATCCTTTAAACTTTTTATCATGTATCATTAAAATTTTATTATTTCCCCCTTTCTTTTACATTGATCTCACCCATACTTAATTTAACAGCTGTTTGTAAACAGCTCACCATAATCAGATCTTTTAAAAACATTCAACGTAGTTTTCACACTTAGTTTTGTTTCACACTAAACAAAAATTCTTTTTGCCCTCATGTTTCATTGATTTATCTGAAGTTTAATTAAATTAATAATTATAATAACAAATACAGCTGCATAAATAGGTTTGGGACCAAATCCTACTGACACTTGAGAAGCATGAAACTCAGCTCTTTGTAGCAAATTGCCTGGGTGTTTGAGCATCTCATTACTTTAGAATAATGTTCAATGAGAAGTGGAATCAATCTTCATGTTTTCGGGCTATGGAGAGCATAAGCTGATGTGGTAAGTGGCTAAATGGAGTTTGCTTAAGAGAGCTTTTGTTCTTTTTGCCTAAGATTTAATGGTTAAAGTTGAATTCACAGAACTCCTGTGTGTTCTGTAAGTGTATTAGAGGGCTTTTCTGATACACTGACAGTGGAGTGTAACTGACAACGGCCATGACTCCTTTTTCCCCAGCCCTACGTTTATGTTACCTAATTGACTTGATTTTTCCCTTAACTCCCCAGCAACTTCCTGCTGTTTCCAATACTAAGTCACCTCCTACAGGGTTGTTAGTAGAGGTGATCTTCATAGTCCCTTCTCTGCCCAGCATTTTCCTCAACTGAATGTGTCAGGGGAGGGACCCATGTCATTGTAAGCCCTCTATCAGATTGTCCCATGGAGTTCTCTGCTAATTGTCCACTTGAATTCACTTTGCTTATTATTAGCAAATTTGTGCTTTTTATATATTTTTTCCCTTCTCTTTCTCTCTTTTTTCCTTTTCTTTTGCTGCACTAACAAAAGCCTTTTCTGTGTTTTTGCAGGCTCTTTCTTGATAAGGATATTCCTAGGTATTTTCTGTTTGCTTTTTTGCACATAAAGATTCTAGTTTATCAGAATGCTTTATGTCTTATGTTGCTTCGACTGCTATTTTAATTTAGTAGTTTTCCCCCATGCAAACCTATGCCCACCTAGAGTAGAGGAAGACCTTATTCTGCACCCCTGTGCCCTAAGGCTTTCTGACACGTGTGTAGTCTCACATACAGCTTCTTAAGTAATTTGTAGAGTTCTTAATTATTTTGTCGTTCCATTTATTAAACTCGCCCATTTTGGTCTTACGCCCCTTCAGGTTTTCCTCTTCCACATTACAGAGCAGAATGTTATTCCCCTCATTTCATACGGAATCTCAGGCTTTGCATAATTGTTCACTTTTTTCTTTGTTTTGTCCTGTGCAGTAGTAAAGACCAATTTGGGTTGTTTGGGTAGCTAAGTTTGAGAAATATTTGGGTTTTGTTTTGTTTTTTTTCTCTCTTTCTCCTGTCAGGACTGCTTGACTCATCAGTTTATTTTCTTCTTTAGGAATAGAAACAACTCCTGGTTTGGTAGTGAAGGAAATTTTTTCCCATCTGTTTCTTCTTTAGAGAAGAAAACTGAAGGAAGTGATACATGACAGTATAGCTGAAGTATTTTTTTAAAGATGTGTGCACACACACACATATACATAGACACATGCTGCCGTCGTCCAGAACATCTTGAGAGATCCACCTCGGATCATTTCCTGGCTACCCGAGGAGCCATACAAGAAAACATGTCTTAGGACTTAGCCCTGTTTCTAACTCCAGATTCTCTTGCTAGATTGATTCAGTTGACATTTCTCACCAATCTTGGTTATATTTCTTATAACCACCTCTTAAGAATTGCCACCCTTGGTGGGTATTTCAAAAAGAAAAAAAAATGTGCTGCAGTAACTCCCAAGCGCCAAGCAAAACCAAAAAAACCCAAAAAACAAAAACCTACCTTTTCCCACATTGCAATTCAGAAAGATTTTAGTGGAGTCAGAATTTTTTTTATGTTAGCCAAGTTTCTACCAGTGAAATTTCAACTTTAGGTTAAGTTGTCTCTTAACCTGAAAAACAGAAATGTGAAGAAGCTTTCTTACACAAATTCCAACATTTGCCCCAGTTGAAAGGGAATCATGAAACCTAAATACTGGCCCTGGCAGGTGCTTAAGTTCTGGTTTGGAACTTAAGGAATCACAGATTGCAGGCAGCAGTGCTAGGAATGTCTGTCAGGTGTCTCCGAAGGAACACGTGCCCTTGCTCTAAGGAGGGGCTTCATTTCACTTCAGCATGGGTGTAGCCAGGCCTTGCAGTGCAACATTCCAGGTACCTCGACAATCACTGGGACACAGTAAGAGGGCAGTCTCGGGGACAGAGCCCTCAGTCAGGTGGCTTCTGTTGAAGTAATGGATTTCATCACACAGTATTATAATTTATCTTAAACCAAATTAAAATGAAGATCTGATTGAAACAGGGCTTTGTGAATGCACAAAGGGTTCTCTGCTGAGCCCATTGAGCTCAGGAGCTGGGGAAGGGTTTCTGTTGTCCTTTTTTGTGGTCACTATTGGGGTCCTTTGGTTGCTTTGTCCATCTTTATTTTGTTAGTTGTTTGTATATTCTTTTGTTGTCTTGTAGAGAATTTTCTTGACCCACACATACTGCCTTGAAGCTACATGTTAGAGAGAGTATCCTGTGCAGCTGGCCCTTGAACAACACAGGTTTGAACTGCACAGTCCACACGTGTGGATTTTTTTCAGTAGAAAGTACTACAGTGCTACATGGTCCGGGGTTGAATCTGTGGATGTGGAACCTCAGATGCCAAGGGCCAGCTGCAAGTTACACGTGCATTTTTGACTATGTGAAGGATCGGGGCCCCAAACCCTGTTGGTCAATGGTCGTCTGTACTTCAGGAAGACTTAGATCTAGAAGGAGCTACAATAGGAAACAATCAGGGCTTCATACACCGGCCCTCAGAGGATGAGGTGTGGTTAAGGAGTTCATTTAGAAGTGTATGGTTTTCTGTATGATTGTTTCAAGAGAAAGGAGCATGGAGATGTGCTTAGAGAGAATATGGGCCAGCTATTTGTCACAGGAAATCTAGAAAAGACAACAGTGAGATTGCTATTTGGGAGGGAGCGAAGTAGAATGTATTGGGCAGGGAACAGGGTGTGCAAAAACTCTCTCTAGTTGAAATGGATAAAGTGTATTACATGTGCAAAGAGCCAGTGGTGATGGAAATCCACTCTGCAGGGGTAGACGAGGTGTCTTACCCCACACTTCTAACGGGGTGGAGTTGGGAGTTGATCTGTAACACGGCTATTGAATTCAGTACAGGGTTGCAGATGAGACTGGCGGAGCTGTAAGATTTAATGTCATTTAGCATCTGTGATGTTTTACCAGTAGGGAAAAAGAAAGGTATTAAAACAACTTAAAAAACCAGTTTATGGGTATCTATCAAATAATCAAGCCTCTAGTTGTTATTTAAATGTAAGGTTTTCATGTGGATTATTTTGAAAACTCATAAATAGTAGTTGGCTAGCTCTGGTATTAAAATTCGTTCTCTTTTACTGAGATGTCAACTAAGAATAACGTTTTATTCTTTTATTTAAAACAAGGCTCCCTATACTCCTTCTTTTCTCCCTATACTCTCCCAGGTATGTTTGTGACGTTTCAGAGGCTCAGCAGAACAGGACTGAGATACAAAGACTGCAGCTTACAAATGACTGAGTCTTTGCTTCCTGCCCTTACTGCTGACTGACAGAGGAGCAAGCTTAGTCTTTCTTTCTCCTTTTAGTTTTTGTCCAGACTCATTCATCCCTTTCATCTTAATCCTTGTGGTTGAGCTCACTGTGTTTATATTTATTGGCAGAGGAGAAGCAGGCTAGTAGAAATGAAAACAAGCATAGCTGAGTGTTCCTTGATGCTGAGTGAGGGCAAGAGGATGGGGGCCTGCCTCTTCCTCCCAGGAGATGCAGGTTCTGCTGTGTTGTTGGATTTCCATAAACTGGAAGTGCTGGTTGGTGTAGGGCTCTGCAGCATTACTGGCAATGACAGTACCTGGACTAGGGTGACCTCAGCTTCTTTTGGATGACTTCCTCTTGCCTTTTGACCTTAGGACCTTCTATCGTTTTGAGGCCGTGTGGGATAGCTCCCTCCACAACTCCCTCCTCCTGAACCGAGTGACGCCCTATGGGGAGAAGATCTACATGACCTTGTCGGCCTACCTAGAGGTGAGAAGACCCAGGACTTGAGAAACTGTGAACAGCCAGCCCTAAACAGTGGGCAAGTTAGAACAGGAAGTGGGGAGGAAAGGTTTGACCAGTTTTGTTCTCCTTTCTCCATCCATATCCTTAAGTTATTTCTCTTATTATGCTTTACTGACTCTTCTGGTTGTACTAGATTCTGTTCCTGGTCTCTAGTTAATAAAAAAGTCACATAACTTTATTACAGTATCAGCTTTAGTATCCTAATCCTTATTCTTCAAAGAATGTATGATTTTAAGAAAACTGTCTCTTTTGTAGTTGTGGACAGAGCCTAGTCATGGTTAACAGCACAAACCCTGGAACCAGCCAATCTGAGTTCCAGTCTCTGTGCTGCCACTTACTGCCTCCATGTCCTTGGACAGGTGCCTTTCTCTCTCTGTGCTTCAATTTCCTCATCTCTTAAACAGGTGTAATAATAATAGCATTTACCTCAGGAAGTTGTTGAGAGGTCACATAAAAGGATTTAGAACAGTGCTTGGCATGTAATAAACAATAAACATTAGCCTTTATTATAGGAAAAACTGAAAATTTGGTGGGGGGAGATAAATGCATCTGCAAAGGGTACCACGTGATCTTGCGCACAGTATCTCCTGAGTTGCCGCTGAAATAATTGGTAGAGCAAATCCTCCACCCCTCACATCTGGGACCAGCTTTCCAGATACGGTGATGCCCAAACTGGTCACAGATGCTCCATCTGCATTTAATCGGAGCCCATTCCTGTCTGTTTTCAGCTGGATCATTGCATCCAGCCAGCTGTCATCACCAAGGACGTGTGCATGGTCTTCTATTCCCGGGATGCCAAGATCTCACCGCCACGCTCCCTGCGCAGCCTCTTCGGCAGCGGCTATTCAAAGTCACCAGACTCGTGAGTTTTTGAGACAAGTTTAGCTTTCGATTGGTTTGCCCTGTATGGAATCAGCAGTCTTCTGGGTATCTCTGGCTGCCGTTACAGATTCACAAACTGTAACATTTTGGTAACTCATAGCCGGATTGCAGTGACTTGAATGTTGGCATTTAATAAACTGTTGATAAATGGATGAGTTAGTGAAGGAAGGAAGGAATGTTCCGTTGTGAACACGTCTCAAACAATTCTGCAGGGGCTAAATGTTCTTTTAAATGTCATTTTTATTTTTAACAGATTACCAGTTAGGATTTTCTTCAAGATTTATTCATACTTAGGATATATAAAAATGCATCAAGAATAATACAGTGAATACCTGTGTATCACCACCCAGCTTAAAAACTGAGTATTACTAGTGCAATAGAAGGTTCAGTTACCCCTTCCTAATCACCCCCCCCAGAAGTGGTTTATCGTTTCATTCTACTCAGGCTTGTTCCCCCTCATCTCTTCTTCCTTGGGGTAAGAAAAAGTAAATTTTAATTTTTGCATTTGTAATATAACTTTTCTAGTTTATCATTCAGTTTTATTTATCCATTGAAATGAGAATGTTCAAAAGATTGCAATGAAAACAGACTCTTCCTAGAAAAAATATACTGATGTTCAGAACAGGAAAAGAACAGTGATTGATAAGAAGCATCTGTAATTATATTTGAAGGCAGGTTGCAGGCCCAGCGGAGAACATGGTTTAAGTAAAGAGAACTGTGATTTTTCTGTTTTTGTGCTGTGTGAAATTAAGCAGTTGTTTATTTGTTTTCATTTAAATAGTAATCGAGTCACTGGAATTTATGAACTCAGCTTATGCAAAATGGCAGACACAGGCAGTCCAGGTAAGTTTGCGGACTAGGGAGGTGACTGCTGTCTTTGCGTATGATTGGAGTATATTGTGTCAGAAATCTACCCCACCATGCAGGATGTATATACATTTTTTGGAAACCAGATATATTTTACAAGCCACTTTGGTGGTGGTGGGAATTACCTTTTTCTGAGTTGCAAGACCGTTTGGTTTATGACATGCAACACAGTTATAAAAATTGTATGGAACAAAATGTTAATGGGCTGTGGAATTCTGTAAAAGATTTCAAGTGCATTAGAATGAATTTGGCTTGGGAAACTTCAGAACCATTTCTGTCCCCACCTCAGCCCCGAAGTTAACTTGACAGTATAACTTTATAGGTGTTGTCAAACTAAAATCCAACTTACTGTCCTCTAGAAAGATATATTATTAAGTTGAACTTGTTCTGGTCCTTTTTAATGTCTCTTTGGACTGCTGTTGTTCCTCTATCTTGGTGGCCTTAAGCAGTACTCTACATTTTTATGGACAAAAGTTAGTGTTAAAGAACATTTAGTGTAAGTTTGAATCATTTTGGAGAACATATGTGGAAAAGAGTTCAGGGCCCACCAGTAAGACTGAGATAAAAGACTTTGAGTATGAATCCAAGTCCCAGTAGCAGCTAATTATCGTGTCTCGATAGTTCCTTCAGGAATTTTAAAATTAACATAAAATTCATGTCTTTTATATGTGAAGCCAGTATAACATTTTTAAAAATTAATGGGAAATAATGGAGGCTAAAGCAGTCTGTCATCCACCACAATGGACAGTAGGCAGTACCTTAACTGAGCTACTGATGTGAGGGGTATGTGGGGAGACTTGCCCCACTCTTTTCGTATGGGTGTATTTTTATATATTTGGAACCATAGTATACAGACTATTTAATCTCTCTCTGTTTTCACTTAACATAATAACTAACATTTTCTTAAGTTGCACTATCAGCTTCATAACTATCAAAGATTATAAAATTCAGTTTTAAAAGAAGTTCAGAGAGTTGCTTTGGGGGAAACGGTATCAATTTTTATTAATAAAATCCCATGCTGAGACCAAACTGTCTCAGTTTGCCATCTATATGAATTATTAATTCTTTTGGAGCTAAAATTGGAGTCAGGTTTTTCTCGGGGAAAAAAGCATTATTTCCTCTTGTCTCAGGCATGCAGAGGAGGAGAAGAAAGATCCTGGACACCTCGGTGGCGTACGTGCGAGGGGAAGAGAACTTGGCGGGCTGGCGGCCCCGCGGAGACAGCCTCATCCTCGAGCACCAGTGGGAGTTGGAGAAGCTGGAGCTCCTGCACGAGGTACCCCAGGGCAGGAGGTGCTCCGGTGAACTTTGGGCACGATTCCCAAAGTGGCACTCCTACATTCACGTTCTCTGTGTGATCCTGGCTTTTGAGTTTTCTGTCACGATGGAGGTGTAATGTTTGGCTTATTAAGATCTTGTTGAGCTTTGTGTTTGCTGAGGCAGTAGTGTTGATCTTTTTAGGTGGAGAAAACCCGCCACTTCCTGCTGCTCCGTGAGAGACTTGGTGACAGCATCCCCAAATCCCTAAGCGACTCGTTGTCCCCCAGTCTCAGCAGCGGGACCCTCAGCACTTCCACCAGCATCTCCTCTCAGATCTCAACCACCACCTTTGAAAGTGCCATCACACCCAGTGAGAGCAGTGGCTACGATTCAGCGGACATTGAAAGCCTGGTGGATCGAGAGAAAGAGCTGGCCACCAAGGTGTGACTCCCTTCCTCTTTGCTGAGCATTTTCCCCCATAAGTCTCGGTGAGCTAGTCTTTCCATTTTTCATTTACATCTTTATCTTTTTTTGAGGGCCTCTGTTTCAAAGCCTGGGCTAACACTGTGAAAATAGAAATAAGTAAGACTCAATTTCTACACCTAATAAATTTACAGGCGAGTAGATGACAAGCTGATAATAGAGGTGTGGTCTAGAATGCTGTGGGAGTCCGAGGAGAGGCCTCCACAGGACAGCACTCTTGACCTGAACTTGGAGGGACGTGCAGGAGAGAGCCAGCCGTGTCCAGCACGATCAGTGTTGGGGAATTCATGCAGGAGAGGGACAGAGATGGGCCAGAGCCAGATCATGAGGAGTCTGTGTACTGGACTGAAGCGTTCAGTCCTGGGAGTGATGTGGAAGTATTTCAAATAGGTATTTGTGTTTTAGGGAGATTTTTCCAACAGCAGTAAAGAGGATGGATTTGTGGTGAAGCAATAGACTGGAGGCAGGAAGAGTTCTTTATTTCAGTAACCTCGACGAGAGACGGTAGTTCTTTAACTGTGGCAGGATGTGGGATGGAGAGGAATCGTGGAAGAGATGTTTGGAAGGTGGAACTGGCACCTTCATGCCCAGATATGGCAGGAGAGGGCCAGGCGGCTGCTGAAGGTGACTTCTGGGCACGTGGCGTCTGGGCAGCTGGCAGTGGAGTACAGAAACGAGGGATTTTGTGTTTGTTTTGTTTTAATAATCAAATGCCTTCTAGTTGATTCAGGAACTTATGTCCACCCAAAAATCTTTGTGTCTTTAGTACCAGGGTAAATTGAGGATGAAAAGGAAGTTATTGCATTCTGAAGCACTTCTAAACTGTGGTCGCGATAATTCACTTTTGTAGCCTCGAGAATGGCTTTTTATCCACTATTTTGTCGTCTTTATTAGGCATGTACCAGGCTTCCCTTGCTATATACTTGGATGATTTGAGCAGCATCTGAGCTTCACTCTGGGTCTTAGCGTGTTATTTTCCCATCCTGCTTTAATCCAGGGCTGTGTTTAACCATTAACTCTTACACTTCCCTTTTTTTTCCCTAGTGCCTGCAACTTCTCACCCACACTTTCAACCGAGAATTCAGCCAGGTGCACGGCAGCATCAGTGACTGTAAGGTGAGCAGCTCACGCTTCCTGTCCTCGGGTTATGCTGCTTTCTGGGGGCTTCAGACAGGCCTAGCCTTGTATTTGAGGTTGTAGGACGTATCTGATCTTGCATTTATTTAATTTGCAAACTCTGTTTGCAGAACTCTGACTTCTGAAGATAAAAGTATTCTTCTGTGTCTCTTAGAGTGATTATCAGATGGGAAACGTTTGGCTTTTCTCTGAATCCCTTGGAGAGCAGTATTCTGTAGGGAGGGATATATTGTTTTACATGAGAGGGCACAAGAAGTGCTGAGATTCTTAGTGGCATAGAATTTTGTTGCCTTTGGTAAAGAGTGAGGTGAGCACTTTAAAGAACTTCTGTATCATGCTTTCTGTTCTAATCGTCTTCACCTTTCTTGCTGTCCCCTAGACACTCCAAGCTCATTTCTGGGCTGTGAGCACTGGCTGTTCTTTTGCTTGGAATGATCTTCTTCCAGATATTCCCGTCATTGACTTCCTTATCTATTTCATTTTTCGGCTCAAATGTTGCCTCTCTGGGGCACACTTCCTTAACCACCCTACTGTCAAGCCAGCAGCTCTCTCAGACTTTTTAATCTCTTTCCTTCTTTATTTTTTGCTGGAACACTGATCCCTGCCTGACACTCCTTAAAGTGTGAATTGGTTTATTGTCTGCCTTCTCCACTTAGAATGTAAGCTCCGGGAGGCCAGGGCCTCTGCTGTATTCTTAGAACAGTGCCTGTTGTTCTGAGTGCTTGGCACGTGTAGATAGGGTCTTTTAATTAATGCAAGAGGCAGTAGCAATGTAAAATATAAATATATTGTATAAATATAAAGCTAGCCTTGCCTCTTTTGTAAACATCTTGATTCCTATTGTGACACTCAAGCCATCAAATATTTGTAAGACTTTTTCTTGAATGACCTGAAACAGAAGATTTGTGGAAGGGAGGTCACTGGCTGTCAAAGCTTGTTTCTTGCAGAGACAGTTTTGTTTATCTGAATCTCCCTTGCTGTGTCCTGTTTTCTTGCAGTTGTCTGACATCTCTCCGATCGGACGGGATCCCTCTGTGTCCAGTTTTAGCAGCGCTACCCTCACTCCCTCCTCCACCTGCCCCTCTCTGGTAGACGCTAGGAGCAACTCTTTGGATCAGAAGTAAGTACCCAGGTTTCACTGAGAGAAGAAGCTAATCTTTTATAAACCAAGGAAAATGCCAACCTTCCTCTAGCTCAGTGGTTCTCAGCTGAGGGCAGCACGGTCCCCCCAGCAGTGTTTGGAGATACGTGGGGGCCTTTTCTGGATATCACAGTGACTGGAGGATGCTGCTGACATCTTTTAACATCACACTTTACTTTCTGCATCATATCATAGATTCCTCTTCTTAATCCCTTCCTGCTTTGTTTACTCATCCATTCACAACCCTGATGTCTCCCCAGTTGCATCAGACACAGGAAGCCCCATTCTGGGAAAAATATTTTGTAAAAAATATTTTAATGACACAACAAAATACACAAGTAAGAATAATAGAGGCAAAGTCTAGATTCCATTGTAACCACTGCTTTGCACTGCACCACCAACCTCCCTTGCCTGTGTCCATTCACTCTCCTCACCTGTCAGAACCCATCTGGCTATCACTCAGCGGTCTGTCTTCCTCTACCAACACTGACACAGTGGGCCAGAGAAAAGAGCACAAACAGGTAATTTAATTAAATTTGGGGTGCCATCAACTCTAAGACATTATTTTTATGTGCCACTAAGAAAGAAAAAGTACTGCCAACTAAAATGTGACATGCCATCAATTAGAAGATGCATTCCCAACTCAAGAAACAGTGAAGTATGAGAAAAATGGCTTTTGAGAATTGATGAAGTACATTTAAGAGTCTCATGCTCTACCAACTGAGCTAGCCGGGCGACTGAAGTACGTTTAATTCGACTAGGCTGCTCTACAAAGAGAACGGTACAGAGCGTAGGGATTCCTCCTCACACAGCAGTTCGGGCTGGTCCGGGTTGGCGCTGCAGCTGTGCTCACGCGGTCATTTAGGAGCCCAGGTTCCTCGCATTGCTGGCCTGCTCTGCCCGCTCCTCAGGCGGGTGGTCCTCACTCACACTTCAGAGGCATGTGCTTCAGAGGCAATGTGGGAGGCTTATTAATAGATCCTGGATGGCTGAACCCCATCCCGAGTTTCTGATTCTGTGGGTCTGGGTTGGAGCCTGAGAATTAGAATTTCTAACAAATTTTCAGGTGAAGTTGTTGCTGCTGCTCAGGGACCACACTCTGAGATCCACTGCCCTGGGTGTGGCCTTGGGACTAAGTAGAAACATGTGAGGGAATGGAGTTCGTATTCCAGACACTTCTGTTCATAGGGCTTCAGAATAGGAGGGCAGACTGAGTGACTTGGCAGTCATCGGTGATCAGCTTCCTTTTGTAACTTCCGAGGGATGACACCAGTTGAATTTGGAATTGCCTTTCTGACGCCAGCTTTGTCTTCTGCGCCGCGCTCTCTGAGACTGATGTGTGCACGGTGTTAGGGGAGAAGCGCAGTTCCTCTTGGTGAGGTGGTTGTGCACTGACCTTACTGAAGCTTGCGCTGCCCCTTTCTTCCTCACCTCTCTCTTTTCAAGGACTCCTGAAGCCAATTCCCGAGCCTCTAGTCCCTGCCCAGAATTTGAACAGTTTCAGATTGTCCCAACTGTGGAAACACCCTATTTGGCCCGAGCAGGAAAAAATGAATTTCTCAATCTTGTTCCAGATATTGAAGAAATCAGGCCAGGGTGAGTACCGTATTGACCAGGGATGCCGGCTATTACAAGGCAGATTAACAAGAGTTCACTTCCAGCTCTTCCGCGTGGGCTCTATGTTGCCACCTAATGCAGATGGAATCGGGTGAAAGAGCTGGTCTTGGTTTCTGCTCCGGGTGTACCATCGCCACCCCGGCACAGCATGCGGGGGGGGGGGGGGCTTTGGGTCTTTCGCGACGTTACTTTGGCAGATCGGATTCTAGGCCAAATGGATCATTTGCTTGTTTTGTTCATCCTAGGGTCTTGGCCTTCACCCTCAGCTCATGATTACTTTATTGTTGTGAGAAACTAACCTCTCTTGTGCTGTGCTTTTTAGCTCAGTGGTCTCTAAGAAAGGATATCTGCATTTCAAGGAGCCACTCTCCAGCAACTGGGCTAAACATTTTGTCGTGGTCCGTCGCCCTTATGTCTTCATCTATAACAGTGACAAAGACCCAGTGGAGCGTGGCATCATTAACCTGTCCACAGCTCAGGTGGAATACAGTGAGGACCAGCAGGCCATGGTGAAGGTCAGTCCTGCCCCTGTTGCTTTTCATTGCCATACATGGTCTTCCTTTTTGTGTTCTGGACTCTGCTGTGTGGTGCAGAATCTCTTTTGTGTTTGCTGTTTCTGAACCTTTGGTCTAAAGTGCTGTGTGCCTTCTGAAGGTGGCAGGTGGTCCCCATTGTTCAGTATCCATAGTAGCTTTCTCTTCTTCCTGTGTTTCCCCCAGACACTGAACACCTTTGCTGTATGCACAAAGCACCGTGGGGTCCTTTTGCAGGCTCTCAATGACAAAGACATGAATGACTGGTTATATGCCTTCAACCCACTCCTTGCTGGCACAATTCGGTAAGACGTTGTTCCTGTCTTTCCTGCCTCTTCTTGGTTTTTGGTCCCAGGGACAGCAACGCACTTAGGAAGTCTTGTTCCAAGCAAGTTTAAAATAGAGGAGGGTCGGGAGGCCAAGTGTGCTTGTAAGGTGGCGATGAGGCCTCAGCTTCTCATACGGTGTCTCCTGGTGCCCCGAAGGGCCAAGGAGACTCTGATCAGTTTGCCCCCAATTTATCTCCTGCTTTGACTTTTTGTTCTTAAGGGGTCTGCTGCTGGTGGGACTGAAGAAAGGGAAGACTGCGAGCCTTCACGGTTTCCCAGTATTCAGCCCTGTGATCCAGCCTCAGATCCTGTTCGAGACTTGTGTCCCTGGGTCCCCAGGGTGAGGAGGACTGCAGGCTGCCCTGTTTGTCAGGAGCCTGGAGACCTGGGCCCACAGTACAGGATGGGAGGGCATTCAAGGAGGGAACCGCAGAGGAAGAAGACCTGTGAGGGCAAGACTGTCTGGACCCAGTTCTCTGATCCTGCCATCTGCCTAATTCTCTAATCCCTTTGTCACCCATAGGTCGAAACTCTCCCGCAGATGCCCGAGCCGAGCCAAGCCAAGTACTAATTGACTGCCGAGCGCCCTCATCGCCTTCGAGAGATAAAGGAAGTGTTACCTCTCATTTCTCTTTGTGATTTTTGACGGTGACTCTTGTGTGTGATCCTGTGGCTTAACTCCTTGTCCCTCTTGTCCAGCACTTTTTCTAGCGCTCCTGTTCCCCATCCCCGTTGCTCTGTACTCTTTTCTTTTTCCTGTGCTGAGAATCTCATTAGGAGCATGTGGCCTAACAAAAGGGAAAAACAAACAAAAACCAGAAACCCAGAGGAAATCCAGTGAATCTACAAATTACTTTTTGGTGTGTTTTGGCTTCTTTTGTATGATAGGTCCCCATTGCGACCACTCTGATGTCTGTACTGCTGTCTTTGGAGATCTCTGTCTGTTTTTTAAGACAACGTAATATTTATTTCTCTTTTCTATTTGTGACATAATTTTAATTTTTCTTGGGTAGCTTAGAGACTAAAGGAGGAGACATCTGGTCTTTTTAGAACCTAAGAGGAAAAAGAGTTAACCTTTCCCCCTTCTGTCTCTTTTTGCCATTGCTAATCCCTGCATTTTCCATTCAGGGAAAAGGTTGTAGTGAGTTTAGAAATGGGACAGGTTATGTTCTCTGAAACTGGGGCTTATTTAGAACATAGCCGTGTAATTTTCATTTAGTGGAAGAGAGGACTCTTTAGCAGGTGTGGGACAGTGGCTGCTGTTGACCCTGTAAGAAGGGAAGAGCCGAGGACACTGCCAGTGGATTTCAGAGGACCGTGGACTTGGCAGTGGGCTGTGGAGGTGGGCGGCCAGTGGGACACTTGTCGTTGTCACAGCAGGGCTCCTCTGACTCCACCGGGAGGGAGCCTCTCCTCTCAGTCTCTCAGTCCTGTTCTTGGCATGAGTAGTTGTGGTGGTACAGTTGGAATTAGTGCCGCGATGTCATACACAAGGAGGGCGTGTTTCAGTTTCTGGTGATGAATTTGACGGCCTCTGTTATCATCATAATTAGGATAATGCCGGGTAGTGACGTTACGATTGTTGTCACTCTGCTAATCAAAGACATGTAGCTCTTACGTATGAACTTGGAAGTCTCCGTCTAAATCCAGTGGTCATGTTCAATGACCCTTGTCAAATTGAAAATACTCTGAATGATGCTTGTCTCCCTATATTCATAAATAAGCAGACATGACGGGCATTGCTTCCTGGGTCCCAGGATTATAACTGGTGTCCTCCCATCACTAAAAAGAAAAGGACCCCTACCTGGGGGCTGAGAAGAGGGTCCACCTGAGCCCTGGCCCCAGGCCTAACTGCTTGCATCCTGCTCCTTGGTTGTCTCCGTCTGGAAAAAAGCCAGAGGAGAAGGGCGGCGGCTCACTGCTGACAGTCTCCTCCTCCGGCAGAGCAGGGTCTGCTCCCAGGGCCGTCTTGGAGGATGTCTTCCTCTTTCAGCTGCAAGGAGTTTACGGGAGGGATGTGGGGAAGACGGCCTCCCATTACTTCCGTCGCTTCGCCAGTTGACACAGGGTTATTCTATACTGTCCTTCACCTCCCTTGCCCACACCTCTGTCTGCCCGTCCCTCAGGCATTCAGAAAAGTATCTGCTTGCTCCCACACGGCTGAGACCTGGGGTCCTCAGCCGCCAGGTTGCTGACTCTCGGGCAGCGAAGGGGAAGGGCCTGTGCACTGTGCGGAATGGTGGCTGGGCAGGCTCGTATTCACCCAGCCCCTTGCTTCTGACTTCCTGGCTGGGCTCGCTCCCAGCTTCGTTCATCATAACTGCCTTGCAAAGAGGAGGAAACGTGAGTCGCAAAGAGCTTAACAAAAGAAAGGATAGAAATCAAAGGCTGTGACCTTGCCTAAAAAATGATCAATTATCAATTAAAACTCTACAGTAGATTTTTTTTTAACTTTCTTTCTCTCCTTAAAACATAGGTCACTAACTATAATGTTATTTGTTTCCTAAGTGGTATATGAGACTTTTAATGTAGTTAGAGGTTTCTTGTCTGATGGACACAATGTGCCCTTCGGGTGTACCAGGGTCTGTCAGTGCTTAGAGACGGCTTCCTGGGCTGACATTAAATCTAATTTCAGGGACATGAAGATGAGATTTGAAGGTTACTTTCAGAATTAAATCATGGATGCTGCTGCTGTTACAAAGTCTGATCGGAGGATCCATGTCTGTGGCACCAGGAGGTGGAGACAGTGGTGGGAGAATAACACCTGTGATACGCTGAGATGACTTCTGTTTTTCCTTCTAACTCAAACAAAACTGGCTTGGAAAGTCTTTGCTTTGGAGAGGGTGTCAGATACTAGCACAGGCCCAGCTGGACTGTTTGTAACATCCCCAGGTGAGAAGGCCTTGTGAGGAAGCAGGGGTCCTGGGCAGGTGGGCTTCCCACCACCTAGGGGCCTCAGCTGTGGCTGCAGGTACAGACAGCCTCTGTAGGTACTGCTTTCTCTGGGGGCCCAGTTTCAGATTGGAGCTGGAGCAGTTTCAGGATTGATGTTCCCTTTGTAGACAGGGCCGTCTCCACTTTGAAGCTCTGAGAATCTATGTTAGGAACTATTTATGAGGCTTTAGCTGAATCCATAATGGCAGAAAAGTTGAAATAACTCGAACCTTTAAGGAAACCACCTTTTGAGGTTTGTTTTGTTTTGTTTTAACCTAAAGCACTCATTTAAACAAGCCATAAAGGGCAAGAAAGAACACTCTTATGCCAGTTAAGGAGAAATGAGTGCCACGTAAAGGTAACAATCCCCTCCCCTCTTCCCCCATCATTCTGTGTCCTGCCAAAGCAAAACGTGGCCTCACAGCTGCCACCAAACCAGTGCTGACACCTTCCTTGTCGCTGCGCCACCCTGGGGGTCAGTCAGCTCTCAGGCCAGGCTGTGCAGGGCCAGCCAGCTCGAGCACACGCCAGGCGCACGGCCGGGGCTGCTGCTGGCGGCCGGGTGGACACCTGAATCCCGAAGCGTATTTGTAACATGGCGAAGGCGAGGGAATTATTTCTCCCAACTGAAAAACCGCTGCTTTTTTTCCCCTTCAGCTACATAGAACTCACATGACTACTCATATTTTTGATGGGATTTTTCAGCTCTTTTACAATGGAGGAGTAAATTGAATCATTGTGAAAGATCTTTTGGTATCTAAAAATAAAATGACTTCTCCTGGCACATATATCAAAGCAAAGACTTTGTTGCCTGCTGCTTGCTATCTGATTTACAGGGATATTTAATTTTGTAGGTATTTGTATATTTATACCGCTGTAATTAATTGCACATTGAACTGGAAAAGCAAGGATGACCTGGCGTGAGGCACCTATCGGTACTTGGCATCCCCTCGTCTGGGCTCCACTCGGTTCTCCAGGACAGTATCAGGGCTTGTTCGTTTCTTGTTTGACTTGGGTCCTTCGTTTTTCCTTTTGGTTCCCTTTTTAAAATGTGATTGTTAACCTGCTCTTTAAAAAGAAGAGACTAATTTTGCTGCTGCTCTCAGAAGGTTTGCTGAATGTATTTGAAGTAGGGCTCTAACTCGTGTGCACTGCAGCTGTCCACCGGCCAGTGAGGATCCACCCAGGTGTGCGGCCAGACCCTGACTGTGCGTAGCGGGAATGTATGATCTGTGCTTCCTTAGTAAACGGAAATACCAGCTGAGAGATTATCTGCTGCTGTTGTTCAAAAGGCCATTTATGAAACTGGTGTTTGAGCCCCATAAAATCTTAGGAAAGCCTCTGATCATTCAAAGGAAGAAATTAAAGTTGATACAGATTTCATGTTAAAAACTCAGCCACACGGCTTGTGCTCAGATGGAAAGTCCGAGCTGAGGTTGGTCTCTTGCCAAACCCTGGCTGTCACGTGTCGTTTTCATGTCTTCGAGTTAATTTTTTTCATGCCGCGTATTCTGGCACCAGTTCACCTGAGGAATCCATCAGCCTTCCCACAAACTGTCTTAGACTCTGTGGCTCTAAAGAAATTGTCTGTTGAGATTTCAGGTCTCTTGTCACCATCCTCGTGCACTACAGCAAAACCCGTGAAGCATAAGTGGCCTTTTTGAACCAAGACTTTGCAAACTGATCTCTCCCCAGTGAAGGAGTTGAGCACATTAGCAACAATGTACATTATTAATTTCATATTTTCATTTTCATGTTTTATTATGTAAATATTATCTGATGTTTGGAGCTTGAGTATACAGAATGTAAATATAGTTCTTGTATTTGTACTAATTCTGGTTCTTTGCTGTATAGCTTAGGTGTGCAATGCAGACATCATCTAACTGTGTATGGTAACCTGCATCACGGAACTGTTAGTGAACGAGGTAAAAACAATAAAGGTACAACCAGTGCATCAGAAGGCTCTTGATGTGCGTTTATTCTTGCACCCTCTGAAAGGCGTTTGCCCAGAGATTTTTCCTGACTTGCAGAGATACTGCTTTTCTGGGACAAATGTCACGATGCTGTGACCTACATGTTCTCTTTTGATAAGTCAGAACAGCAGCTATTGCATGACTAATGTGGTGCTGTTTCTTTGAAAGTGCTTTTCTCCCGAGTATGGAAGTGGCTGTTTTAGGTGGAAGGTTTGTGGAAGATCTGTGTTTTTTTTCTCCTGAAGCCTCTCTTTATATCCCTACCAATGATTCTGTAGTGGTGGTGGTGGCGTTTGGTGGCGGGTGGGGTGTGGGGAGGGTAATAGAGGGGTTGAAATTTTCCCTGTGTCAGTTTAACAGACACAGAGCAGAGTATGACCAGAGCAGAGCATATGAGCAGGGACCACTGTCCTGATGTTTGAGGAGAAATGTAAGCAGGGAGGGAGAAGCAACATTCATGCAGAAAACAGTGATTCGTGCCCGCGTGTCTGTGGGGTATGTGTCCACATGCCTGCGAGTCCGTGGGGTGTGTCTGGATGCTGGTGTTTCAGCAGTGAACAGAATGAGCCAGCACCCGCGGCCCTCCGGCCAGTGAGGGAAGATGCTTGTTACACAAATATGTAATGTTACACAGCAAAATAAAGCTGAATAAAAGATGAGAACGGACGGGAAGGAGGCATCTCCATAGATCGTGTGGTCAGGGAAGGCTTCTTGTGGAAGGTGACATTTGAGTGGACAGCTGAATGAAAGAACGGGTCAGCCACGCAGAACCCTGGGCAAAGAGGTCTGGAAGCAGAGACAGTGAGTACTCAGGGCAGCAGTGTAGGTCCCAGATCAGCAAGGAGGCCGGTGTGGAGAAAGAATGTGGCCAGGGACCAGGTGGTGGTTAGGGCTTAGGTAACTGATTCCGTTAGAGTGAAACTGGAGCCAAGGGGAGACTTTGAGGAAATAAATCACATGATCTTATTTGTGTTTGTAAAAGACCATTCTGATTGTTGGTTGGAAAACAGCCTGCCTAGTGTGTGGAGATGGGGGACCAGTGGAGGGAGAGAGACAGAACAGGAAATGCTGCCCAGGCTCGGACTGAGGCGGGAGCAGTACATTTGGGAGAAACGGCCAGATTCAGGACGCGGTTTACTGTCAGCACTAATAGTGTGCTGCTGGGCTGCGTGCAGAGTCGGAGAGAAAGGAGAAAGGGAAGTCCCGGCAGGTGCCTGAGCACAGAGCAGGCACTGGATTTCCTAAAATGAAGAAGGCTGGGAGGAGGGCTCTTCCTGAATGAAGAATGTGGTTTGGGTCACGTTCACTCTGAGATACCCACCCGCACGTGTAGCCGATGGGGCAGTTGGATGTCCTAGTTGGACTCAGGAAGAGGCTGGGGACACATTTGGGAGTTGTCACAGAAGGTGACGATAAAGGCAAGAGGTGAATCTGGGGAGGGAGTGGCTGGTGGGAACCCAGACTTGTGCGGTGCAGGGCGGTCCCGGGGACAGGACGACCGGCAAAGACTGACAAAGTGGCCAGTGGAGAGAGAGTGGTGTTTGGCAACTGAGTTAAGGAAGTGTTTGAAGATGGAGGAAGTGATAACTGTCCAGTGCAGCTGACCGGTTAAAATAAGAACTGAGCAGTGACCACAGGCTTTGGCAACAGGGAGGTCAAGGAAGTTTGAAGGAGCCGGTGAATACCATCGGTTTTTCCCAGTTTCAGAGCCAACTGAGAAACAAAAGAATAAGGCAGATGGGAGGTCAAAATACCACATTTTTCACTGTTAACTGTGGGTAAATGGGTTTCCTAAAACTGAACCTTGGAATCAGATGGCCGGAGCAGTGCGGCTTGGACTTCAGTGTACACCAGACTCACCTGGGGTCATACCAAGTGCAGATTCCGGCTGAGTAGGCCTAGGGTGGGGCCTCAGGTCCTGCATAATAAAGCTTCTGCATGATGTCAGTGCAGCTGTCGTGGGGCCAACTCTCAGGAGCCGACGTACAGAGAGAGCTGAGATGTCCCTGATGTCAGCGAGGCCCTCAGAGAGCGGGCCGGGCTGGCCGTGCCGGGGGGCTTCTTCCAAACTCAGCCGGTGACGTGCTCTCCTGGTGCTGTGTGAGGGGCGGGCAGTGGCAGGTGTGTTCCCGGGATGGAGCTTACGTCATGTGCAGGAGGCATCGGGAGCGCATCTTCTCTAGCGGGTCATCAGCCAGGAGTGTTTATCATGAGCGGGGCCAAGGAAAGCCTAACCGGAGCAGGTGCTGGAGACGCAGAGGGACGGGCTGTTGAAAGGGTGAGTAATAGAGTGCAGGGGAGAAGGGAGGGGACGTGGGGTTAAGGAGCGGCTTTTATTTTAAAGGAAGGAGATAGTCCAGCATGTGTGTCTGCTGACGGGGATGAGCGACCTCAAAGGGAGAACCTGATGATGGGGCGAGACCAGAACGGAGACTTGGCCAGAGCGATCCCCTCCGGGTGGCCGGTGGGCTTGGAGGTAAGTCCTGGGTCCTAGGGGAGCAGCGCCGTTTATCTGCAGTACTAGTAGCCGACGTGTGTGTGCGCGCAGCTCCCAGACAGACAGCTAAGTGACAGAGCGGGCTTGGGATGGGGCCTCCTGGTCACTGTGTTCTCTCTGGGACTCGTCGGTCAACTCTAGTCCACATCTTCCTGAACTCTGCTGGATGTTTCAGTGAAACTATTTTTATAAAGCGGATTGTCCCCTACACCTTGGCCTCATCCAGGGTCACACAGGCGCCACGCTCTCACAAGGCTGACAGTACAGAGTGTCAGGAGGTCCCGTGGAGCTGTACATGTTTATTTAATGCATTACTTTTACATCTGACTTTTCTTGTTACTCCAGTTTTGGTCAGGTGGAGATTTATATATTCTCCCTTAGAAACGTATGTTCTCTGCACTGTCCTAAATTTTTATCTTTTGTGCGCACATCACATGCTTACACTTGAGAACGTAAGGTCTCCGGGTTTTTTCAAAATTGCTTTCTTTCTGCCTAGCCTGCCAACAAGCCATCTGACTTCAGTTGCAAGAATTATACAGCAAGTGAGTGGCAGAGCTGGGATTTTCAAATCTGCCCCAGCTAGTATGTTACTTCCACACTCTCCTATGTAAGTCAAACAAAGGATTCAGCCTTGGAAGGTTTGCACAGAAGGGCTGTTTTTGTAGAATTCCTGCCCAAGCTTTGATTTGGGATTTGGGGAATTAGGGCAAGGCAAAAAGTTATAATAAAGGTGAACAGTAATGTGAGTTGACTAAAGCTTTGTAAGCCAAACATTGGAGGATTTTCTAAAAACTAAAGGTCAGCATGAAGCCTCAGTCCCAGTGAGCCCTGACTCTACCCCATTCATCTCTGGGGAGACTTGCCTTTGTCCCAGCCCTGCTTTCCTGAGCCAGTTAGCTGTAGTTTTCCAACCATGCTGGGGAGCAGTATTTCTTGCAGGCTGTTACCGCCTTAACAAAGAAATGAGAAGACTGTGTAGCATGTGCTGTTAGTAATGGTTTGATGAGGTATTTAAACATGTTTGCCTCAAATGATTCTGTTCAGTGGAAGCTCGGGTGTGTCCAGATGTTTAGTCACATTGACTCAGCATGATTTCTCCCTTGCCAAACCTCAGACTAGAGCAGTCAATTTTCCTGTAGCAGAATCTGGTGGGAGGCTTTCCTTGTAACTGAGGCCACAGAAGAAGGAAATAATTGTAAAAAAAAAAAAAAAGTTATGAGAGGCACCAAGGCCCTCTCAGAGAAAGCCACTGTGTAAAATTCTACCTGTAAAATTTCTGCAAGTGCTGTTGATTCCCTGGAACTAGTCACTGAAAGTTAATTTCAATCTTGCTTTCTATTTAAAGTCAACTCAACATCTCTAACACTCGGATAAACCCAACTGCCATGTGAAAGTCTGTCTCTGCGAGTTTGCATGATTATGGCCTGCAGATCTGATTAAGCAAGGGCACTGGTCTCGGCCCCAGCAGATCTGGGTTAAAGTTCAGTTCTGCCACGAACTAGCTGAGAAAGTCAGCTTCCCTGAGCTGAGTTTCTTGGTCAAATTAGATAGTATTAATAATGGTATCTTGAAATTGTACAGCATCTGAAGTTTACAAAGAGCTTTCATAGACATAGCTCATTTTGATGTGAGGAGGGAGGTGGGACAGACAGGAGGCGGCGTCCCTGCAGTCACGGAGCCTGCAGACTGTCGTTAGCCCCGGAGAACGGATGGCCGGAGTTTGGGGAGGTTTCCATGTTTGTCCTTTTTGAAGTTTCTCCTGCATTTTCTGATTCTGGGTCTCTCTCATTTGCTACAAGGCTGAGGTGCCAAATCCAGTCTGGGAAAGAGGACGAAGATCTCCGGAATGATAAATACATAACTAAATATATACTTTATATTAAGTGCATATGAGTATATAGCCGAAGTGATACTTTGTATTTCTTCTCCTAATTAAAAAAAAAATCTAAGATTGTTTGAACCAGTAATCATAACATGTATTATTGGGCTTCAAATATATATTGGTAAAATATACATGACAGTAATAGCAAAAAGGAAGAGCAAGAAGATGGAGTTATATTGTAGTAAAGTTTCTGTATGTACCAGAAGTTTTCAATATGAAGCTGAAGTACATTGTAATAAATTAAAGATGTATATTGTAATCCCTAAACAACCACTAAGAAAGTAACTCAAGATACAGTTTAAAAATCAAACCGAGAGAAAAAGAATCAACCTCAAGATTAAGATAGTACACACACATACACAAATTAACACAAAAGAGCAGTGAAAGGAGAACAGGGGAACAAGGAAGACATGAGACAGAACACATAGCAGAATGGCATCCACGTAGCCGGCCGTATCGACAATATACATTACACGTGAAAAGACTAAACATTCCCATCGAAATGCAGAGGTTGTCAAACTGGACGTTAAAAAGGAAAATCCAACTGTATGCTTTCCACAAGAGACCTTTTGATTCAAAGACACATAGTTTGAAAGTAAAAGGTTTTAAAATTTTTACAGTGTAAACAGTAATCACAAGAGAGTTGTAATGGCTATATTAACACCTGGCAAAACTGACCTTAAGACAAGAAATATTATTAGAAACAGAGAAATGTTTCATGATGATAAGGAGTCAGTCCAGCAGGAAATTATAACCACTATAATTGTGTATGCACCTAGCATCAGAGTTAATATACATGAGCAAAAACTTATAGAAGTGAAATGACAAACAGATAACTGAAAATTCATGATAAAAACAAATGAGGAATAGGAGAGAAATTCCTCAATCTTTTGAAAGGCATCTATGAAAAACCTAAAACTAGCATCGTACTTAGTAGTGAAGAACTGAATGCTTTCCCCCCAGGGTGGGGGGCAAGGCAAGTATGTCACCTCTCACTGCTTCAACCAGCACAGTACTTGAGGTTGTAGCCACTGCAATAGGTGAAGAAAATAAAAGGCATTCGGATTGGAAAGGGAGAAGTAAAATTGTGTTTATTCACAGATGACATGATTACAGATGGCAAAGTCTCTGGATAGAAGATCAACCTACAAAAATTAGTTGTGTTTCTCTGTATCACTAGTGAACAATCTGAAAATGGAACTAGGGAAATTCCATTCACAGTAACACCAAAGGTTGTATTTAGAATACAGCTAACAAAAGAAGAGCAAAGCCTATCTATACACTCAGTCTGTGAAACATTGCTGAAGCAAAGGAGATCTAGACCAATGGAGATGGCAGTGCTCCCCAAATAGTCTACAGATTCAGTGCACTCCCTGTAAAATCCCAGGTGCCTTTTGTGTGGACATTGACAAACTAACACTAAAATTTACATAGAAACAGGAAAGGACCTAAAATAGCCAAAACAATTTTGGAAGAGTATAAAGTTGAAGTAAAATGATTATAAATCAATAAAAAATGTTAAAAAAAAGAGTATAAAGTTGAAGAACTTAAATTACCTGATTTTAAAACTTACTATAAAGGAATCAAGAGAGTATGGTGTTATCATAAAACAAGTGGAAAAGAATGGAAAACCCAGAAACAAAAAACATTCACACTTGTGGTTGCTAGAGAGGGTGTGGAGAAAACGGAACCCTCCTACACTGTTGGTGGGAATGTAATTTGGTGCAGCCACTACAGAGGACAGTATGGAAGTTCCCTGAAAAAACTAAAAATAGACTTACCATATGATCCAGCAATCCCACTCCTGGGCATGCATCTGGAGGGAACTCTAATTCAAAAAGGTACATGTACCCCAATGTTCATAGCAGTAGTATTTACAGTAGCTAAGACTTGGAAGCAACCTAAATGTCCATTGACAGATGACTGGATAAAGAAGATGTGGTATATATACAATGGAATACTACTCAGCCATAAAAAAGAATAAAATAATGCCATTTACGGCAACATGGATGGACCTAGTGATTATCATACTAATTGAAGTTAAGTCAGAAAGAAAAAGACATACCTTATGCTATCACTTATATGTGGAATCTAAAAAAAATTGACACAAATGAACTTACAAAACAAAAGCAGACTCACAGACATAGAAAACAAACTTACGGTTATCAGGGTAGGAGGAGGGATAAATGGAACTGCGATTTGCAGATACTAGCTACTACATGTAAAATAGATAAAGTCCTACTGTATAGCACAGGGAACTGTATTCAATATCTTGTAGTAACCTATGATAAAAAAAGAATATATATATTAAAAAATTCACATTTGTGGTCAACTGATTTTTGACAAAGGTGCCAAGGCAATTCAATGGGATCTGTTCAGCAAATATTGAATAATTGGATATCCATATCCAAAAATATGGACTTGGACCCTTAACTCACAGGTTACACAAAAATTAACTCAAAATGAATCATACTACATGTAAGAGCTAAAACTATAGAACTTCTGGAAGAAAACATCGGAGAAAATCTTTGTGACCTTGGGTTAGGCACAGATTATTTAAAGATATGTCACTAAAAAATAAATTGGACTTTACCAAAATTTAAAACTTTTATTCTTCAGAAGAAGCTATTGAGAAAATGAAAAGACAAGCCACAAAACTGGGAGAAAGCATTTGTAAATCAAATATCTGATAAAGAACTTGTATTTAGAATACATAAAGAACTTTTAAAACTCAGTATTCAAGCAAACTATGCTTTTAAGAAAAGAAAAAGAAAAAACAGGAAAAAAGTAGGCTGCTCTTAGTGAATGGCTTCCAAAGAATAAAATATAGAAACGGGGGAAAAATGACTTTATAGTGAAGTCACTTGACAAACACTACGTTAGCCAGATGATCAAAGTTAGTACCATTGGTGTTGATAACATGTACCTGTAATACGATGTCATGAGAATGGTACTTTACCTCTGTGGTATTCTTCTACAAAATCTATAACCATAAGAAAAAACATCAGACAAATTCAAATTAAGGACATTCTATAAATACCTGACCAGTATTCCTCAAAACCATCAAAGTCATGAAAAAATAAGACTAAGAAACTGTCATAGACCAGAGAAAACTAAGGAGACATGGTGACATATTGTGGTGTCCTGGATAGGAGCAGAACAGAAAAGGGGAAAACTGGTACTTCTAATAAAGTCTGGAGTATAATAGTATACCCATGTTGATGTCTTAGTTCTGACAAATACACCCTGGTAATGTTAAGATGGTCACAATAGTAGAAACTAGGTGAGGGCTACAAGGGAACTTCCTGAACTTCCTTTGCAACTCTTCTATAAACATAAATCTATTCTAATATTTATTTTAAACAAACGAGCTAAAGATTTGAATGGACATTTAACCAATATGTGAATAGCTAATAAGCACTGGAAAATGTGCTCGACATTATTTGCCATTAGGGAAATGCAAATTAAAACCACAGTGAGATACTACTGCACACCCACCAGGATGGCAGTAATCACAAAGACAGTATCAGGTGTTAGCGAGGATGTGGAGACACTGGAACCCTCGTGCACTGCTGGTGGGAAATGGCACAACCAGTTCAAAAATAATTCAGCAGTTCTTAAAAACTCAAACATACGCTTAACTATATCACCCAGCAATTTCACTCCCAAGTATCTACCCAAGAGAATGAAAACGTATGCCCACACAATGATTTGTGCATGAATTTTCAAAATAGAATTATTTATTCTTTATTGCCCAGCCTAGAACAATTTGTGTATCCATCAGCAGATAAATGCATTAACAAGTTATGCACAATGAAGTATGAGTCAGCAATAAAAAGGAATGTACTGCTCACAAATACAGTGATATGGATAAGCCTCAAAAACATTCCACTAAGGGAAAGAAGCCAGACAAAAACTACATACCATTCCATTTACTTCTAGGAATAAACAGAACTGTATAGACATTAAGTAGATCATAGGTCTTGAGGTGGGGGTGGGAGCAGAAATTGACTACAAACTGGCACTATTGGGGTGATGGAAATGTTCTAAAAAGGACTGTGGTGATGGTTACACAGCAGTGTAAATTAACTAAAAATTTCCAGCTGTATGCTTCTATAATGTATGAATTGGTTGGCATATAAATTATACTTCCATAATTTTTTTAAACAAAAGGACGGTGCTATGAAGAAGTGATGATCTCATTTTAAAGTAGGATGCCAATATAATTTATCATTCAAGCCAGAGCAATTTTAAGAGTGAAAGGGGTTGCTATTAAAACTCTGCAAGAAGACAGCTGTGAACAAGGATTGTCGCAGACCAACTGGCTTGAATGGTATCCCTTTTACAAAACTGTCACTGGATAGCAACAGTTAGTGGCCATCTGCTAGGCGGGAACAAGATAGAGACATGGTCCCTGTCCTCTCGGACTGATGGTGCAGTGAGGGAGATGGGAGAGAAAGCAGGCAGTGACAGTCACTGTGCTCATGGCACACAACAGTGAGGCATCTAAGTCATCCTGGGAGAGGAGAGGAACCCGTGAGCCAGGACTGCAAGGTGGTAGGAGGCAGCAGGGTCAAGAGCAGGCAAAACACCGCCTGAGGCCAGAACCAGAAGGTAGTTCAGTGTCTGGAACAGTGTGCCAGCAGGGAGATTCCAAAGGGAGAGGACAGAGATGAGCCCTGGTCTCAGCACTGCTGTGTTTTGTGAATAAAAGACCCGAGCGCTTGAATCTGAAAGGAAAATGTATCACCTGGGCTGGAGATGCAGCAGAGAAAAGGCTGTGGCACCACCCTGGCTAAGTCAGTCACATTGTCAGCCCTGCGGACCCAAGCTCAGACTGAGGTGCACGTTCCCAGGCATTGTATCAGGATGCTCTGGAGAGAAACACATTTTGTTTTGGTCCTGTTTGCAGTATCATAAATGATCATCAAACGGCTGCTAGAATGTTCCCACCTATTACTGCAAATAAAACCCAGGGAAAAGCTCCCCTGGGAACTTCCTGTAAATCAGGGTTGGGCTGCCTGGTATGAGGTTGCACCCAGAAAAAAGCATTTTTAATAGGATGTACTGGTGCACCCTAAAGGGGTGTAGAACAGAGGAAATGACTCCAGGCAAAAGGAGAAGTCGCCCGGGATGATGTGTTTGGATCAGGAAAACAGATACTGTGAAATGCTTGGGTGTGTCATTGTCAAGGGGGAATTTTTTCTACAGCAACAGTCCATGTAATGGACCATTTTGCCGCCAGCTGAGCTTGGTCTGCAGGAGCCACTCAGGAGCTGTGCAAGCAGCTGTGACGGTGTTCTTCTCCCTCTCTCCCCAGAAGTTTACACAAGGAAGCCTGGGACACATTTTTTATTCAGTCCCAGTTTCCATGATGGTTTATATCTCTCCCTTCTGAGTCCTTTCATTAAAAAGGTAGAAATTAATATCTCAGTACTAAGTCCTGGACACAAGTCCCTTGGTTTCATTTAACCCTAGAGCTACCCTGTGAGATTTTCTCCTTCCTGTTTTACACACGAGGAAACAGATTCGATAACCTGGGCCAGCTGCACAACTAGAAAGAAGTGGAAGCAGAGCCAGCTGAGGTCAGTGTGACACCCAAACCCACAGCTTTCCCTCTCCAGCAAGCAGCTTCCAAGAAGGACATTCCAGATCATTTGAGAAGCCATCTGTCCAACCACAGAGGCTCTCTCCCAACCCCAGGTTTTACTAGAAGGGACCTTGGGGCGCATCCAATCCACCCCAAAGAGGAAGGTCCAGTGTCTGCCACTAAGTGACCAAGCAAGTCTCGGCTCTCTGAGTCCCGGTTTCCTCGAATCTAAAGAGTTTAGCTAGGTCAGTGGTTCTCAAACCTGTTAAGTTCAGAGCCCTCTTATACTCTTAAAAATTATTTAGGACCTGAAGAGCTTTTGTGTGTGTGCATCGTATCTATTAATATTTACCATTAAAAAATTGAAACTGAGAAACTTTTGAATATCAATTTCCCAAATAAAAGGAAATGCAGTGAGATGAGTGGTATTGTTTCACAGTTTTATAAATCTAATGTCCTGTTTCATATAGCTTAAGACAGCTGGATTCTCATATCTGCCTCTGTATTTAATCTCTTCCATATCATATGTGATGTAGCCCATGGAAAACTCCACTGTACACTTGTGAGAGGATGATAATGAAGAAAGTAAGAGAATGATGATGAAGAAGGCAAATGATGTCTTACTGGTGCCATGGAAATACCTCTGTCCCCACTTGCCCCTGAAAGGGTCTCAGGGGCTTGCCGACATCCTGACCACTTGCTGAGACTTGTCTCTGAACTTGGTCCGTAGACCACCAGCACTCAGAATCACCTGGGGGTCTTAATAAAATGCACATTTCCTGGCCTACCCGAGACCTGTGGTGTCAGAACTCACGTTTAACAGGCCTCCTTGCACACTGGAGTCTGGGGACACTGGGCTGGGAGAGTTTCAAGATTCCTGCCAGCCTGGTTCATTCAGAGCTACAAGGACATCTGTTTTGGTAGAGCTGGGACTAAGGCCCAGGTCTCAGTGCAGAGCATGCTGTGGCTGTCAGCTTGTGCTCTCTGGTTTGCCTGGCTTATCAGGGCCCATCTCCCCATTCACTTCTTTTCCATTCTGGGAGCTGCTGAGGGCAACCAGGCACCTTGCTTATAGCTTTAAAATAAACCTCAGGCTTGCTTATAACTATATTTCTGCGTCCAGTAGAAGCAAGAAGAAATGAAGGAAGGGACTTACGGGATGGGGACCTCTTGTGCCCTCAGGAGGAATTCTGTGCTAAGCCTGGCACCACCTAGACATCTGTACAGAGAGTCAACCATAGTCCATGAACGCCATACCAGGCGATGGGGGAGTAAAAGAGAAAAGAAAAATCGTACCATCAGGAATGTTAGGCCTGGCTGATGCAAAACAGGCAAATACGGAAGCAACTCAAAGAAAACAAATTGATATAAAGAATATTTATATTAGGAGAAACCCTAACACAGAAAAATAATTACAAGATAAAGCAGACTATGATATCATTTTAAAATTTCAGAATAAGATTCCATTATTGCATTAAAACATATTGTTACTGTGATTTAATTAACACACAACTTCCAAGAGGAAAAAAACCGATATGGTGGGACATTTGCTAACATGGAAGTTATAACAGTATCTGTTAAGACTTTATTACAAAGTAACCTGTGCAATTGGTGTAATGGAAATAGCCTTGGCCTTGAGTCAGTCACAATTGGGCCACGAACTAGTCATTAACAGTTGTGTGGCTTTAGTAATTGTACATCTGGTGAGCACTTACTATGTGCAAGGCACTATTAGGTGACAGGAAGCATTCACAGAAAGCAAAAAACCCTAAAATGTACGGAAGGAGCTAAGCCTCTTTCACAAACATCTGCATTGGAGGTGGCAGAGTTCAGTGCTGAGGGTCAAAACGCTTCGTGTGCCAGGGACTCGTGCACGTGGGAGGTGGTATTTAATGCCCTGGACCAACCGTTCACCAACACGTAGTCTCCAGCTCCCCAGCTGTATGGGAAGAGTTCAATGACATGACCTCTAAGACGGGCCTCATCACATCCCAGCAAGTACGTTCCCCGCTTGTTTTCTCTGAGCCTGTTTCTTCACTTGCAAAAGGGGTCTACACGTCTCCCACATAGGGTAGTGGTGAGGGGCAACATTTTCTGGCACCCATCACACGTGTCCGCAGACAAGAATACACCTGGGACCCTGCCTGGGGTCAAGCGATTCCACGCATAAACCCTACAGGGCACCGGAGCGATGGAAGGAAGAAGTGATGGAAACTTGGACAACAAGTGTCCAAGTGCCCCTTCATTGGAAAGCGCGGCCCGACGTCAGTCACCATCCTTCCTCACCGAGCCGCGGAGCAGAGTCCGCGCCCTACGCGTCCTCTGCCACCGGCCTGCGCCCGGCCCCCTCCGCGGGTCCCCGGCCCCCGGCCCGCGCCACGCCCCCGCTCGCGCTGAGTGGTGTTATCGATGTGCTCGGCGCTCTCCTGAGCCAGCCCTCGGAGTGGGCGGGTCCACTTGCCTCAGGTGGTCTAACAGGCGCCGGGCCAGGCCAATGGCGTGGTCCTCTAGCCCCGCCCCCTCCTTATGATTGGCCGGCGCTGCATGGCCCGGGCCTCCGGAGACAAGCCGGAGCGGGACTCATCTCCAGTCGTCAGCGCTGTTCGCTCGCTGCCGTTCGGCTGTCTTCGCTCGAGTTCACTCTGCCGCCGCCGCCGCCGCCGCCGCCGCCGCCATGGCCCAGTGAGTGACCGCCCGCGGGATCCGGGAAACTTTCCGAGGGTCCGCGCGGAGGGCGGGTCCGTCCCCCGACGCCGCCTCGGCCCCGGGGGTCGGCTGAGCCGGGCCTCGTGGCGCCCGGACCTCCAAGGTCTCAGCCCCCTCGGGCCCAAGTTCGGAACCTCCGGACCCCGAGCCACCCCGTCGCCTCGCCTCTCCTTGGACCCGGCCCCTCTGCCCCTCGCGGCGGCGCAGGCGGATCCTGCTCCTTGCACGGGCCGGAGCGAGGGTGGGGGACAGGCGTGGCCGAGGGAGGCCCGGGTCCCCGGCCGGCCGGCGGCTCTGCCTGCAGGGCTGCCTGGCTGTGGGAGACGGGACGCCGGTAACAGTCCTTACCGGATCGGCCGGAGCGCAGAGATTACGTGCAGTGAACATCCTCCTACGTGCACGTTTGGTTGTCTCAGGAGAACTTGAAATTCCGTGAAGTGGAAGAGGAGAGTGGCCTGTCTCCAGTTGCACGAAGGGCTGCAGGCCGGAGTCCTAAAGTGTAAAAAGGAGGAGCGGGGAGAGGGAAGTTAAGACAGGTTATATTTAATTAGCAAAAGCTAGAAAACTCTGGGTCCTTGAGTTGTAACGGATTAAGTGCAACTGAAACATTTTTCTTTGTTCTTTGTTGCCGTCTCTCAGAGCTGATATTGCACTGATTGGACTGGCTGTCATGGGCCAGAACTTAATTTTGAACATGAACGACCACGGCTTTGTGGTAAGTCAGGAGGAACACACTCTTCTCTTAGGGGTTCTTGGTCCTCAGCCTGAGTGCTGGTGATCGTTCTCATTTCCAAGGTCCCATATGACCTGAACGTATTTCTCATTATATGTGCTCTGTTGCTGCTTATGACATTTTCGCAGTAGAGACGCACCACTTTATGGGTGGGTGTGGGAGAGCCAGCTCCACAATTCTCTCAGGAAGAAGAGTCCTGCTAAACGTATCTGTCAGCTCTGTAAGGTCTGCAGCCTTGAATAAACCTGTCAGTATCCTAAGGAGGAGGAACCCTGGGAGTGTGAGCTCTAACGTTGTTGCCTGATGGGAGCTGGAGCCCGTGAAAAGCTCATGTGTGAATACTAAACTGGCTTCGCTACAAGGGTTATCAGTTACAAAATGACAAAAAGTAACAGTCTGGAACTACCTGGTTTCTAGACTTGAGTCCTAACCAAACAGTGACAGACTGTCTAGCCCACTATGTCCTGGCCAGTTGATCTTTGCTTATATTCTGTTCTTTGCCTTTTCATTGTATTAAAATTAACTTTCTGGTGATCAGTCAGCACTTGGGTGGGAAAAAGGTAAAATCAGGGTCCCACTTCTCCAAAACCTTTGGCAGAATAGCAGTTCCATTGTCACTCGGTCCAGTCTGAAGGTCTTCTATGTCCTAGATCTCCTAATGAGGCCATTTGTCCTTCTAGGTCTGTGCTTTTAATAGGACAGTCTCCAAAGTTGATGATTTCTTGGCCAATGAGGCAAAGGGAACCAAGGTGATTGGTGCTCACTCCCTGGAGGAGATGGTCTCCAAGCTGAAGAAGCCTCGGCGGATCATACTGCTGGTGAAGGCTGGCCAAGCGGTCGATGATTTCATTGAAAAACTGGTGAGGCCAGCTCTCTCCAGCTGCTACTCGTGGGACAGAACTTTCCTCATTCCCTTCCCTTAGCTGTTGTACTTCTTTTTCCTTAAGAGATCCCCCCCACACACATTTCAATTTCTAGATATGATCTTTTCAGTAGGGACAAACTATTGCTTAAATGT